CCTTTTACTGAGGAGTGGCTTCTCTACCACTCTACCATAAAGGCCTGATTGGTGGAGTGCTGCAGAGATGGTTGTCCTTCTGGAAGGTTCTGCCATCTCCACAGAGGAACTCTGGAGCTCTGTCAGAGTGACCATTGGGTTATTGGTCACCTCCCTGACCAAGGCCCTTCTCCCCCGATAGCTCAGTTTGGCTAGGCGGCCAGCTCTAGGAAGAGTCTTGGTGGTTCCAAACTTCTTCCATTTAAGAATGATGGAGGCCACTGTGTTTTTGGTACCCTTCCCCAGATCTGTGCCTCGACACAATCCTGTCTCGGAGCTCTACGGACAATTCCTTCGACCTCATGGCTTGGTTTTTGCTCTTACATGCACTGTCAACTGTGGGACCTTATATAGACAGGTGTGTGCCTTTCCAAATCATGTCCAATCAATTGAATTTACCACAGGTGGACTCCAATCAAGTTGTAGAAACATCTCAAGGATGATCAATGGAAACAGGACGCGCCTGAGCTCAATTTCGAGTCTCATAGCAAACTGTCTGAATACTTATGTAAATAAGGTATTTCTGTTTTTTATTTTTAATAAATTTGCTAACATCTTGATAAAAACTGTTCGCTTTGTCATTATGGGGTATTGTGTGTAGATTGATGAGGATTTTATTTATTTATTCCATTTTTGAATAAGGCTGTAATGTAACAAAATGTTGAAAAAGGGAAGGGGTCTGAATACTTTCCGAATGCACTGTATATAAACCCTGGTTTTCTAATGCTATGTATTGGCCATTGAGAGGCTTTGAAGCCAACGGTCGGCCATATTTGTACTCCCCAGTATGAGCAGTCCTCCATACGAAAGAATGGAATTCTACAGTATTTAAATTAAATGTTTCAAGGACAAAATTACATGTATTTAAGTATTTGTGTTGTTGTAGTGGGGACAGTAACATTAGTCATATCTATAATTTATGAAAATGCTTTTATATATATTTTTGGCCATCCTCCTAGGTAAAAAATGCAAATAACTTTTGAACGGATTATGACAGAGACATGAGGTTTGGACCATTGGTTTTCTTAGAGGACTAATTATTATTATTAATTATTTTACCCATTGGTCAAAAGATGCGTTTTGATTGGACACCCTACATTAAGGTCTCTGTAATAGAATAAATATGGCAAAAACGAATGTAGAATATTTTTTACAAAGACCCAGTGCCCAAATATATATATGCCCAAATATATATAATATATATAATCTTCAGTCGCATACCAAAAAGTAGGCTAGGTAAATCGAGGTCAGCGATACTAGAGCGCGTTCTTGAATCATGAATCTTGACTTTGTGGAACAGCAGCAAGGCTATACAGCAGAGACCTTGACATCCCATTTGAATTAAGGCCACGTGGTGTTCTGTGACACACACACACACACACACACACCCTGGGAAAGTCACCCTTAGTGTTGGACCGTAACAGAGGAATGAGGACGCAGGTGGACAGCATTACACTCCAGTCAATAACCCCTGCATCTCCCCTCTCCCCCGGCTTTCCCACCCTTCAGTGCTCCATCCTCCCCCCCCCCCTCCCATGGCTGGACCTGCTGCCCCCCCCCCACCCCCCCCCCCCCCCCCCCCACCCACCCTGCTCACCAAAGACCTACTGGAGGCTATTTATAGCAGCTCCAGTCCCCCAGTGAGAGGAGGGTTGGTAATGAGCTCAGCAGTGGAGCGCAGGCGCAGCACAGCCACTGGGGACTAGTGTGGTGATATGACTGGGAAACAGATTCACTGCTCTCTCTCTGGCCCTGTGAGGACAGGACACCCTGTGAGGACACACAAACTAGGGCTCTCTCAGTAGTACACAGAGTACAGGAGTAGACTGGGAGCCCAGGTGAGCTGCATCCTCCCTCGCCTCCATCAAATTCAATGCCAATAATCATCGAAGCCCAGAGAGAGATGGAGTAAAACACTAAGAGGACTTATAAGCACTTGTCTGTATGACATGGGGACCTTTTTTCTCCTGAGAATGAAATGCAAGATACAACCACATGCAAAATAAAAGCAGAATGCAAAATTAAACCACAACTAGGCTACTGCTCTCTTGTTAGTGTACTTAGGCTACTGCACTATTCTGTGTGGTTCCATGTAAGGCCTTAGAAAAAAAGGGTTCCAAAAGGCTTCTGCGGCTGTTCCCATAGGATAACCCTTTTTGGTTCCAGGTAGACCTCTTTTGGGTTCCATGTAGAACCCTCTGTGGAAAGGGTTCTACACGGAACCCAAAAGGGTTCTACCTGGGATCTGCCTGGTCCTTCTGTTGACAAAGGACAGCCTCTCTGCCTGGCTGAGAGTCATGAGTTAGCTGTCAGTGTGTTCTGAAGGCAGCCCAGCCATCAGCCAAAGACAGATCTCTTCTAGCTATTTCTATTTCTTGGAAGGTTGGCCATGAAAAACAAGGGGTGTAATTACCTACAAATAGCTCTTGCATAACTTTAAGAGGAGGAATGTTTTACTCATAGTTATTTTCTCCCTTATATTGCTTTAGTACCATCAAAGAAAGAATAAGGGAGTGTAGAACTGAAAGATGTCGATTTGTTTTCCATTATATAGGCCTATCCCCTTCCAGTATAAATGTCTGTGTGTGAATGACAAATGACATGATGACCCAGTGCTTGCTTGTTTACCTCTTAAAAACATTTAATGTAATCAAATCAAACAGTTGGAATAGCGGTCTAGTCACTAGGCTAGGCTAACTTTCCCATAAGTCTATTTTTCTCATTAATCAAATCAAATTGTATTTGTCACATGTGCCGAATACAACTGGTGTAGACCTTCCTGTGAAATGCTTGCTTACAAGCCATTAACCAACGATGCAGAGTTTAATAATAATAATACAAAATAAAATAGAAACACAAGAAGAGTCAAATAAAATACATGAGAATGGAGCTACATTATGACACACAGTAAACCAACACCAAAATAGCAGCAGTTTACGAGTTTAGGCCTAAGCATCGTTTTGAGACAGTCATTTGACTGAGCCTGAATGCTTTGACTGTGTTGTTTATAAGCAGATAAATGTAATAGGGCTGCAGCTGACTGTGGTAGAGCCAGTACAGCACACAGTAGCTCAGTCATAACGACGATAATGAACCACTTAGGGATTTATTAAATAAATAAACAGCAAACGTTCACAGAAGACTAGTCTAAACACAACAAAGCCTTAGCTACTGGCTGCTACACTATACTGTACCCCTAATTAGGAACAAATGGCAGCCGTACAGTAACCAACAGTAGCACGTGGAGGGCTTTCTAAAGCAGCAGTCCAGTTGTTGAGCACTGTAATTACACATTTGTAAAATGTGTTAACTTAAAATCACAACAGAAAATATGTAGGCCTAATTACGCCTATGTATATGACATAATAGATTGGATGATGATTTCTTAAGCAATGTATAAGCACTTGGGCATTAGGCTATAGGCTACATGGACACCGAAAGTGTCTACTAAAGGATTATCAAACTCTGGGCTTCATAATCGTACTCACTCATTGTGAAAGTGTGATGTGATCTATTTATAAAATTATCTATCATCTGGCAGAAATTATTGCAGGAAGAGTTGCTAATTGGTGATCACTATGTGCAATCAATTATGTATTTGTCATTCATTGTTGCTGCATAGTCACTGAGTCAGTTTGGAGGAGCAAGCCTATTGAAGTAAGTAGGAGGGTGTTTTTCTATGTAACCAGATGTACAGGTCGAGGCAGCTGCAGCAGACACAGAAAGCAACATCCTGTTGAACTTCAAACAGAGACATACAAATGAGAAGAGGCACCAGAGTCCACAATGGTAACAGTGCACATGTATCCACCTGCACCCAGTATACAAACATTCACGACAGATGTCTTCGGCTGACTCAGCTTTACCATCACAGAAGTCTGTCTTACTGCAGCATTCTCTAACTGTAAGATATGTGGCACTGAAGATGTCGACTCGAGTTGAGCATACATTTTTTAAACACCGGTTAACATGAAATAACCATGAGCTGAGGGTATAGTCACAGATGGTACAGTGGCTGTCACGAGACAAACACCTTGTCGTTGATCAACATCAAAACAGCGATTGCTGTAAAGTGCACTAACTACTGTACTGCTAGCCAACCTGTCTTCATTACGACTCTCTCACAGCCTCACCAAACTTGAGCAACGTTTATGAATAAATAGTAAAAAAGGTGACTATTATCAGTGCTGTTTCGAAACATATATATTTTCGGCAAACAACGCAAAATAATATAAACATTTCCCTCACCTGTTCTTTTCAACTCTGCCGCTGGTGCGCTAGTTGATGCTACTGGTGTGATGATGTCGAAGATGGTGCTCCCGTCGCGCGTGGATGTGCCTGCAGGTGGAGCGCGCGAGTTTGGTGCAGTGTCTGCGTCTACAAAGACTTCTGGGTAGTGTCGTATTTAAATAGTGTGTTCATTTGAGTACTATCTTCTCCTTATGATAACATTTGTATTACATTGACACCCTCCTCATTTATTTCCTGCAGAGATTAAATTAAAGCCTAAACGTACAGATATGTTCAAGTCAAATGAGAAGTGTGACAATATTGATCTAAGACTTTAAGATGATATGGTTATATTCAAGATAGCATTCATGAAGACAGTGAATAAAAATGTTTAGCATTTTTGTGATGCTCAAGGTCAGTTACATCTCCAGTATTTAGAAACTCTGTGATCTGACATTGTCGAATCTGCTAATATATATAGGAAGACTCCTTTGCACTTCACTTGCATGCTAACGCAAGTAAAAAAGTGTAATTCTTATATATTGACAAACATTTTCTAAAATAATAAAACAGAATGTATATGTTATTGGTCTGGGACCGTTATTCCATTAACTTCATAGTTTTTTCATGTGGAATAAATATAATTGACCTCAAGCTGTCATACATTTGGTGAATCTACCGTTTATAATGACCTATTGAATTTACTAGCCGCACACACTCATTCACACATCATGGCGGTGACCGTGAATAGTGGAAATGCCCCTGTGTCGGACACTCAAGCCTCAACCTCGGCTGATCGGAGCTATGAAGGTTCAACATTTCAGTACAGCATGCTCCTGGAGCACCTCATCGGGGAGAAGAGGCCAATTAAGGATCTGAATCCGACCGTTATGGGGGGTCTTCCCAATCCCATGAAAACCGACGACCAGAAGATGATCGAACGGGGAATGGAGAGCTGTGCTTTCAAGGCGGTGTTGGCCTGTGTTGGAGGTTAGCCAGTCTTTCACTATTGTCGATGATATTACAAATGTGTCATGCATTTGCATGAGTTACTGTACACTTCATAGTTGCAACTAGCCTCTAGATTTGTCCATCCATGGACGACCGAGCAATAGAGGATAAGTTGCAACGTGCTTGGTGCATTTGTGTTTTGGGGGTGTAGCTACTGGAAATAAATACCCCACGGTGACAGCTGATTGCAACTAGTAGTTTCTCTCTGCATGCAGGAGGCCGACTACTTATAATGCACACAGTTGTTCCAAATGATTGATCTTTAATGTGTTGGTAGCTTAGCAATCTCCCTTGCTGTCTATGATATTGCTCATTCTCACAATAAGGTATACTAGTAACAGTACTATTTCCATAGTTGATGTAGCTAACACAATCTTGTGACACTGTTTTCTCTAAAGGGTTTGTTCTTGGGGGAGCGTTTGGTGTGTTCACGGCTGGTATAGACACCAACGTGGGATTTGACCCCAAAGACCCCATGAGAACACCCACGGCCAGAGAGGTTCTCAAAGACATGGGCCAGAGGGGAATGTCCTACGCCAAAAACTTTGCTGTTATTGGGGCAATGTTCTCCTGCACAGAGTGCATAATTGAATCGGTAGGTTGTCTTCTGACGCTTTCTTTTTTTTCTGCTAAAATGCATCAGAAATAATAATATGCTAACTAAGAGAGTAGCAAAGTGAAAGTAGTCTGTTGATTGTCAGTGGACTGGTGGAACTACAGATATATTGAAACTCAGCACTGGGTCCATCCTTATTCTGGCAAGCGTGTAAATGCATCACAAGCACGAGACAGCCTGTGATGTTTAGACAACTTGCGGGACCTTAACGTTGTCTTGCATATCAATCATCAACAAATCATATGTAAGCACAAACCACAAAAAGTTATGTTCAACAAATCATGGGAACTTTGATCTTCTAGGCTAATGGGTGTTGATGAAATGAATACCGTGAACATGTAATTGTGGTTTGGAAAATACCAAAGAGAATGTGAAAAATCTGTGGAAATTAGGTCTTCACGGGTCCAAAAAGTTGGACCCTATCCGAAATGTATCTGTGTCTTTCCCACCTGACCCGATATGCATAAATAAATAAACTGAGGCCTGCTTCGAATGGACCCGAGGACAGTCAGACCCATTCCGAAAAGGACCATGCTGGTTCGGAGCCGAGAGACCCGTTCAGATCTGAGAGTAGGAAGAGCGAGAAAAATAAACTGCCAGAGCATCAATAAAGAGCCATCAATAAATAAGAGATATTAGCCAAATGATCCACAGTTACGTGTCCTTAACTGCCTACAACAAATTACAAAAACTATTTGTTTTGTTTCGATTTATAGCATATTCAAAACTTTATAGTCTATTGTTTTTATTGGTTTTTACTTTCCTAAAACAATAATAGTCTAACTCACGGTTCAGCTGTCGGAGATTTGAGCGCTAAATGCATCAGGGCATTGCATGCATATAGGCCTATGTATGATATTAATATTTATAAAATATGTTCCCGACATCGACATACATAGGCCTACTTGTCAGATAGGTTGATGATTGATTAATGTGTATTTTCTGTAATTTATGTAATTCAGGACTCATCTGTAAAAGAGACCTTGGTATCAGTATGACTCCCTGATAATATAAAGGTAAAATAAAATAGGCTACTACTGCTATACAGATATAGGCGTACAGAAGGATGCTAATTTGTTAATTTTTGATCCAAATATTTTTCATATAGAGAAGTATTATATTGTTAGATTAAAGGAGTAACATAGGTAGGCCTAAAACATTCTTCCTCAACTCAAGTTCAACTGTCGGAGTCAGTTGGAGTGCTGGTGCGCACTACCTTCATAGACCTGCAGTAGCCTAATAATTGCCATACCACACCAAACCTTCACAAAAGTTGCTTAACGTTATTAGGGTAAAATCAAAAGTAAGTCAAGTCATTGTTTATAGGGAAAATAGTAGTCTTTCCATTTCATGGTTTGAGTGCGAGTAGCATAGTATGCCTACCGGTAATTATATTATATTGCAGCAATTTGGCCAATGAAAATTGCTCAACAGAATGAAACCTTAAAAAAAACAAATGACAGCAATAGGCTAATGCTATTTATTTTACAACAGGCCTACTTTTAACCTTAAAGTAAATATGGATCACAAAATAACTTCATTTAGCCAATGAAAATGTCTCATCAAAGTGAAACAAAACACTTTTTGCATAGGCTATTTAAAGAACTGGTTTAGATTATTTAAATATTAATTTACAATACTAATAATGACTAAACAACTGGTAATAAATACAAAAATAAACAAATAAAAGGTAGAAAATTGCATCAAACCTGAATAGCGAGTTTCACAAAGTCCATTTGTCGCGCCAATGTTCTTTGTCCACTACATTATAAAAACTTGTCCAATCAACAGTAGCCTAGGCCAAGGCTCCTTTTACTCGCTCCTTCTCCTCGGCAGCAGGCGCACGTGAGGTGAGCAGCCGGAACCAGTTTCAGCTGGACATAAGCTATATATTTTATTGAATTGCAATTGGCTGACAAAGATAACAAGCTTGCGCAGTTCTCTTCACACAAACATTCAATTAAGAGGATAGGCCCAATCGGGTCCAGTCGGTAAATCAATTTTAATTGCACATTCCTGAGACCTGTGGCAATTATATTAGAACCGACCCAGATCCGAGACAAAAGTCAGAATTTAGGGCACGGTCCCGGGTCGGATCTCGGAATTTCAGGTCTGTTGAAACTGTGAAGATATCTAGTGGAAATACTGTACTGTGTATTTGTCGTCAGTCTCATACTGCCCCCTTGTTGTGTGTATTTTACATTACAGCACAGGGGAAAGTCAGACTGGAAGAATGCTGTCTACAGTGGTTGTGTTACTGGGGGAGCAATAGGATTTCGTGGTGAGTTATCTACTTAATTTGTCAGTTGAAATGTCCCATGCATTAATATCATTTTGTTGAAAGATAATTGTTTCTAGCACTAATTATCTCCGTTCTATCTTATAGCTGGGGCGAAGGCTGGCGTGCTGGGATGTGGAGGTTTCGCTGCCTTCTCTGCTGCCATTGAGTACTATCTTCGGTGAAAACCAGGGCACCTTCTGTACCTCTGTGGACTATGGTTGAGGGATCACTGTCCCTCTGGACCAGAAACAGCCTTTATACCTCATGGAAAGAAAAAAAACATCCATGATCTGATCATGAGGATTGTCTATACTTGGACAATTCCACGTTTGACCTTTTGTTGACTGTATCCTGGACACTGTACGTACAGTGGTGTCATACTGGGTGGGCCAGTCTAGATTTGTGGCCCACTTGATATGCTGTCTTTAATAAGTTAAACGTCATTGAGATTAACCTCTAATCAGTGTCAGTCCATATATTTTGGTTGAAGATGAAAGCTGGCTATTCTCTCATTTAATTTTTGTGGGTGAAATTAAGTTTGAGTCCATCAAAGAGTTTGAATCCAAGTCAATGTGCCCGTTTGAGTGGTAATGACAAAAGTCGAGAAAGGTGTATCAGTGACAGCCGGACACTGTGGTTTCCAACAGCAACGCTCAGATCAATGGCAGTGTTGCCATTGTTTATAAAAGGTTTTCTTTATGTAGAAATAAACATGTCTCTAACACCCATATCACAAACAAACTGAAATCATGTGCAGTGAGCCTCATATGACATTTACAGTGGGGGAAAAAAGTATTTAGTCAGCCACCAATTGTGCAAGTTCTCCCACTTAAAAAGATGAGGCCTGTAATATTCATCATAGGTACACGTCAACTATGACAGAAAAATTGAGATTTTTTTTCCAGAAAATCACATTGTAGGATTTTTTATGAATTTATTAGCAAATTATGGTGGAAAATAAGTATTTGGTCACCTACAAACAAGCAAGATTTCTGGCTCTCACAGACCTGTAACTTCTTCTTTAAGAGGCTCCTCTGTCCTCCACTCGTTACCTGTATTAATGGCACCTGTTTGAACTTGTTATCAGTATAAAAGACACCTGTCCACAACCTCAAACAGTCACACTCCAAACTCCACTATGGCCAAGACCAAAGAGCTGTCAAAGGACACCAGAAACAAAATTGTAGACCAGCACCAGTGTGGGAAGACTGAATCTGCAATAGGTAAGCAGCTTGGTTTGAAGAAATCAACTGTGGGAGCAATTATTAGAAAATGGAAGACATACAAGACCACTGATAATCTCCCTCGATCTGGGGCTCCACGCAAGATCTCACCCCGTGGGGTCAAAATGATCACAAGAACGGTGAGCAAAAATCCCAGAACCACACGGGGGGACCTAGTGAATGACCTGCAGAGAGCTGGGACCAAAGTAACAAAGCCTACCATCAGTAACACACTACGCCGCCAGGGACTCAAATCCTGCAGTGCCAGACGTGTCCCCCTGCTTAAGCCAGTACATGTCCAGGCCCGTCTGAAGTTTGCTAGAGTGCATTTGGATGATCCAGAAGAGGATTGGGAGAATGTCATATGGTCAGATGAAACCAAAATAGAACTTTTTGGTAAAAACTCAACTCGTCGTGTTTGGAGGACAAAGAATGCTGAGTTGCATCCAAAGAACACCATACGTACTGTGAAGCATGGGGGTGGAAACATCATGCTTTGGGGCTGTTTTTCTGCAAAGGGACCAGGACGACTGATCCGTGTAAAGGAAAGAATGAATGGGGCCATGTATCGTGAGATTTTGAGTGAAAACCTCCTTCCATCAGCAAGGGCATTGAAGATTAAACGTGGCTGGGTCTTTCAGCATGACAATGATCCCAAACACACCGCCCGGGCAACGAAGGAGTGGCTTCGTAAGAAGCATTTCAAGGTCCTGGAGTGGCCTAGCCAGTCTCCAGATCTCAACCCCATAGAAAATCTTTGGAGGGAGTTGAAAGTCCGTGTTGCCCAGCGACAGCCCCAAAACATCACTGCTCTAGAGGAGATCTGCATGGAGGAATGGGCCAAAATACCAGCAACAGTGTGTGAAAACCTTGTGAAGACTTACAGAAAACGTTTGACCTGTGTCATTGCCAACAAAGGGTATATAACAAAGTATTGAGAAACTTTTGTTATTGACCAAATACTTATTTTCCACCATAATTTGCAAATAAATTCATTAAATCCTACAATGCGATTTTCTGGATTTTTTTTTCAAATTTTGTCTGTCATAGTTGACGTGTAACTATGATGAAAATTACAGGCCTCATCTTTTTAAGTGGGAGAAATTGCACAATTGGTGGCTGACTAAATACTTTGTTTCCCCACTGTATTTGTATATTATTGTACCCATGAATTGGTATGTCATGTCTTTGTTCGCATGGGACAAACAAAAACACCCTAATGATTGGTTGACAATAGAGCCTTCCACAATGCAGGTAATGGCTGCAGGATGAAGTTGGGGAAGAGCAACTGCAGAAACTTGAAGTCAAAACTTAATTACCTTTGATCACATTATTTTTGTAAAGTTCATGCAGTCGACATATAGGCGCAAGTCAGAATTATTTTGCCCCAGAATGCAGCACACTTTGAAAGGCGGTGGTCAACGACTTGACAAAAGTGATCCGCTCGGACGTTCCCAATGTTTTGACATTCTGACTCAAACAGCCTTACTATAAAAGCAACATGTGGTGACACTGACATATGTACATTTTTACAGAATCCATCCAATTTATAGTTAACTGAAACTTAAGTCACCAAGCAGCAAAGTAGCCATCAGTCACCAGTGTAAATTGATTTAGAGTAATTGAGAAATGCATTACCAGACTGGAACTGCCCACCCAGATAATAATTGATTGGATTGATATAGCACTTTTCTACCAACTGAGGTATTTAAAGAGCTTTACATAGTAATGGGGAACCTCACCTCATCCACCACCAATGCGTAGCGACCATTTTTGTGCCAGAATGCTCACCACACATCAGCTATCAGGTGGAGGTGAGGGGGATGATTAGGTGGTCATGATGGACATTTTGCCATGACCCTAAGATCTACATTTGTTTTACATTTAATTAATTGTGGTGAATAATATGAACTGAGTTGTGTGTTCTATGTGTCTGAGACAGATTGCATTACAGGACTGGTTATCAATAAAAACACAAACCACTGCTAATTGCTACCATTTTGTCTTCATTTTTCAATTCTAATGAATTGTTTGCTAACTGCACGCGCAATAGATTCAGAATACCTTATTTTTTGCACCGCAATCTTGAGTCTGCACAGTACTGATAAAATTCCAATATATGACTGTCACTTCCCAACTATCCCAAAGTGCAGTATGCTGCACCAAACAAAACACAAATATAAAAAAAAGTTTAAAGAAATATGAAGTACTTGCAATTAAAGTGCAAGAAAATGACAAAACATCGTTTTGGTAGACTTTTATTTATTTTACTAAAAAAGAAAAAAGTTCACATCGACATTTACCCTTGTTAATACAGTATACTCAAAGTAAAATACAACATTTTTGATTTTCTTTTAATCTTATATTAAAAATATCAAATAGGACTCATCTAACAGTGCTTATTTTAAGATATGTCACAGGCTACATAGCAGAAAGGTTGAATTTGTACAGCATTGATGGGAGGTGATTGCCGGTGCCGCAAACTAACAGTGACAACCTACCTTTGTTACCCAGCCTGATTTGATTGACAAGCTGAACATGCAATAAGGGCAATAAACTACACAATAATCCTATAGATTATAACTGGTGTCATTTGACACTAGGAACAGGCTTGCAATGGAATGACAAGAAAAAAGCAAATGTTCCAAAAAGTTGCTCGATTTTTTATCCCCATAACCTTCATCTCACAGATTGATGTTTCTTTCTTTAAAGAGTGGTTCAGAATCAACCGTCAGATTGTACACTGTGTTCCTGTGATCGTTTCAGTACAGCTCAGCCAACCTTGGCTGTGAATGAGAAACTTAAACAAAAACAAAATCATCACTACCTGAAAACTTCAAACAACGGACTCCTTGGAGCAATTCTCTAGTTGTACTGGGCCCAGTTTCCCAAAAGCATCTTAAGGCTATGGTTCAAACGATGACCTTAGCCTTAAGATGCTTTTGGGAAACCGGCTCCTGGACTGTACAGGCACACTTAATATATATATATATATATTTATAATAAATAGGGCGAATTTGGCCAAGACTCACACAGAGGGAGGGCTGTGCTCTCTAGTCTTTGCACATGGAGAGAAAATGTGACGGTGGCCATTCACTGACATGGCTTTACTGGCGGCTTGCAAACGCAAACAGTCCTCAGCACTTTGCTTTAACACACACACACACACACACACACACACACATATGCTCTGACACGCTTCTACATAAACACACAGCCCTCCTCTGTCACATGCACAAAGCCAGAGAGAAACAAAGGACTTATTGAACAAATAATATTTATAAAATATGTAAATGCCATTTTCTTGGAATGCCTCTGAAATAAAAAAAGAAAAGAAAAGAGATGAAAGTCCAGTAAGTAACAGACCAGCTTCGGGATCATTGAGCTGGTTTCTGGAGGACTCAACAGACCAAACAACCGACAGTGACCCAGTAAAACACCAGACCCTGACCTCTAACCCCTCACTGATAGAAAGAGAGGTCCCAGACTAGTGGCTGTCCGACGGGGTATTGTGGGTCAGAGGTCAGACGTCTGCTGCTCCCTCCACCCCTGCTCTTCACCAGATGGACGTACTGTAATGTAAGGGCCGCTGCTCTATCTCCGCTGACACTAGAAGACGTGACTATGGGATCCACGTCTGACTCCATCTCTCAGAGTAGGGAAGGGTGGGGGGGGGGGGGGGGGGCTGTACAGTTTTAAAAGGGAGTTGGGTGGTAGGGAGTTGGGTGGTATGGGGGTGGGGTGGGGGGGGGGGGGTTTGCTGTTGAGTCTTTCGCTCCGGACCCCCAAGCGATTAAACGTCAGTGGAAAAGTAGAGTGTGTTCCTCTTCAGCTCAGCGAAGGAGATGGGAGGATGCTGCAGGTAGTACAGCAACACCTGGACCTGAGATGGGGAGAGAGAAAGAGCTTGAGCCTAAAATCAATGGTGTTTCATTTAAATACCAATTATCATAGTTATAACCAAAAAAGGACTAGGATATGGCGCTTTGAGAGGCCATGTGACCTACACATTCTGTACATGACTCAGAAGGTGACTCAGTAAGCATCTTTCCATGATATCTGAGTATCCGTATGAGTATCTATCTACTAAACATATGGAGATGTAATAAGCCACTGCACAAACAGTTGTCTCTCATTCTTTACAGTAATGATGAAGTATGGCATTCTACTGTTAGTGTTGTGGCTTTTATGGTGATTTACAGTAGTCATTGTTTATATACGGCCTAGAATAAGTCATTTGTGAACAGGAAGGGGTTTCTCGCTCAGCACCGGGCAGAGCTCCAGGAGGGGCTTCCCAAATAGTCCAAATACAGCTGGGAGACCAGACCAAACTGACACGGTTCAAACACACATCCCCCTTAGCTAACTCTTACATTCTCACAAGCAAACGCACATGCACAGATGGACACAAATATACGCACCCAAGTCACACTGACCTGTGCCATTACGTCATGTGACCAGATGTCAGAGGCCAGGGTGATGTGTCCCTTGGTGACCTCGGACTCAGAGGGCCTGAGCAGGGTGGGGCCAAACACTGTGCCCAAGTTGTGGAGGGACATCTTGTTGATGGGCTCATTGTCAGCAACTCTGAAACACAAAACAGACAGATAGACCAGTCAGACTACAGTGACCACAGGGACAGAGCAGTATTAATTATTTTTCTAGTCATGCGACATGTTTGCTGGTCTGGCCTTGTTACTATGATAACCCCTTTTCCAAAGCAATCACTGTCAGTACAGCACAGTGTGTTTTGTATGTATTTCTTCTACAAGGACCATGTCTGAACTAAGTTACCATCTGCTGTAACTTATATAAATGTTCTCCATAGCAACAGCAGAGCCATTCATGTCACACTTGAAATCCACCAGAGCGTCCAGCAGGTGTCCTCAGCGTGTCTATGAGAGTAGTCTGTGTACGTTCTGTTGACTGACTACAGTGTACTGCTGGGTGTTAAAGAGCTGTACTGGGATCAGGCCATAATAATGTCTCCATGGCGCAGTAGGGTGGAATCTGACCCAGCGCTAGGTCTGTGAACTGACCTCAGGCCTGCCAATAGGTAGAAATCTGATTTCTCTCTATGGACCTTCCTGCGTGCCAACCTCTGAGATCTCACTACCCTTTACACTGTCACAGCTTTACACACTATAAAGCACCTCCCCTGGGGATACACACTATAAAGCACCTCCCCTGGGGATACACACTATAAAGCACCTCCCCTGGGGATACACACTATAAAGCACCTCCCCTGGGGATACACATGGCTCCAAGTGTTCTTTTCAAACACTAACTTCTGTGAGGAGGCGTGAGAGTGAAGTAATGTGTAACTGAAATTGACACAGCAGCACTATACATTTAAACTTATTCTTAGTTCCCTCTAGTTCACATTGTAGAGCTAGATGACAATAATATACTCTCAGACAAATGTTGTCTTCCCTGCGGTAGGAAACCATAACAAACACATAAACCTGATCTTTTAAAAGTCCGGTGGTGAAATCTAACTTTACTCAGAGTATGAATAAGTCCCCACGCAGGCCATTACTACTATAGCTGATGACAGACAGCTAGTCCTAGATCAGATGTGAGTGATAGGAGGAGACCCATTAGTGTTTCCTAAGTGTTCCTGCCCATGCTAGTGGTTACCAGTCTGTGGTTGGGCTGGGCCCTGCTCTACCATGGCCTTCTAATTGAAAGCAGTTTTAACAGGCACCACCATGATGTCATCCAATGTGGTTACACACTGCCTTTCCAAGTAAGTAGCACATGGTCGGCCATCTAAAACCATCACAGCTATTTTCAAAGACAAAATAGTAGTAGAGAAGTCATTTTAACAGTAGAGAAGTCCTTTTTCATTGACTTTAATGTGTTTCCTTCAACTGGACCATAGGTCCTCAGTCTAGCTCCTTAACCTCACCACAACAGGGCTGGCGTAAAAGGCCCAGTGCAGACTGATGCTGATTCCTCTCCAGGGCTTGATGTGTGTGTGTGTTAGCTCTGTTGACCACACAGTGTCTGGCCTGAACACTCTGATGACTTTTCCCTCTGTCCTCTGTCTTATTGGGTCAATCAGTCAGTGGCTAATGAGTGTGGTGCGGTCAGAGTAGCAGGAGCATATCTCATGACCACAGGCAGAGTGGAGCTGAATGTGAAGCTCTCCAGACTACAGTTTTATAGCAGGCTTAAAGAACCACTCGCACGTGGACAGTATTCTGCCCAGAACTCCTCCAAAGCCCACTCTGAACGTATTAGGCTGCCAGTTAATATGGCCCAAACTGTCACCAGTAGTAGTTACTGGCCCCTTATGTGTACACGTGTGTGTGTGTACCTCTTGAGATGCTCCAGCAGGCTGAGAAAGGTAATGAGGTTAGGGTCAGGCAGAGAGCGCAGCAGATGCATCATGCAGTTCTCCTTGGCTGCAGGGTCCGACAGAGCTGCAGAGAAGAGGAGGATACAGGAGGAGGATACAGGAGGAGAGGGGAAAGAGAATCAAATAAGTTAAGAATTACCCCTCTAAGGGGCAAAAATTAACAATCCTTTCAATGTTGTCTTGTCAATGTATCATTTTCTGTTAATAAAAAAAGAAATAACCCCTCTATCTGTTACCACTGAGATGCATAATAATTGTATTGATATGGTATTGCATTGAGATGTATTAATTTATATGGTCTGTTAGAGGATAGAGGTCATACCTATGCCCTCCATGAAGGCTGGGTACAGGCGGTCAGTGAGCAGGGGCTCTGGCAGCTCACGGAAGTACAGCTTCAGCGTCCCCGCGATGGCATTGATGTCCATGTCACTCAACATCACCAGGATGTCTTTGCTATCTTTGGAGGGGAGAGAAAGAGGGATAGAGAGAGAGGGGGGGGGGGAGAAAACATAGATAAGGGAAGTGTATCATCCCAACAAACTGATCATTCTGGCTCCAGAGATGACATAACAGGCAACAAACCCAAACAACCAGAGATCTCAGCTCAGTGAGACATGAACACAGCAGAGAGACACTCATGCATTTGGTTTGGTCTAGGGGCTGTGACTGAGGATATGTCCCAAATGGCACCCTATTCCCTACATAGTGCACTACTTTTGACCAGAGCCCTATGGTGCCTGGTCAAAAGTAGTGCACTATATCGGGAATAGGGTGCCATATGGGACACATTCTGGTTCTGGGACTCCCAGGGAGGACAACACACAGCTGACAGCTGCAGCTCCTCAGACCTGTGTTTTTCCTGTCCTTTCCCACAACCATCTCTGTTTATAGCCAGGCTGAAGGCCCTCTGCCATGACTGATCCCGGCACGGCCCACAGTACAACAGGGAGGATGGGAAGAGTGGAATGACAGGACAGCTCACAGGGGTCTGGAGTTATTCCTGATAACGTGACCTGACCAGGAAAAACTCATGGCCCTGGTTATAGTCTATATATAGGGCCCAGAGTTACAGTGATGGAAAAAAGTATTTGATCCCCTGCTGATTTTGTACGTTTGCCCACTGACAAAGAAATGATCAGTTTATAATTTTAATGGTAGGTTTATGTGAACATTGGAGACAGAATAACAACAAAAAAATCCAGAAAAACGCATGTCAAAAATGTTATGAATTGATTTGCATTTTAATGAGGGAAATAAGTATTTAGACCTACACAAGGCTGGAATGGGCTACAAGACCATCGCCAAGCAGCTTGGTGAGAAGGTGACAACAGTTGGTGCGATTATTCGCAAATGGAAGAAACACAAAAGAACTGTCAATCTACCTCGGCCTGGGGCTCCATGCAAGATCTCACCTCGTGGAGTTGCAATGATCATGAGAACGGTGAGGAATCAGCCCAGAACTACACGGGAGGATCTTGTCAATGATCTCAAGGCAGCTGGGACCATAGTCACCAAGAAAACAATTGTTAACACACTACGCCGTGAAGGACTGAAATCCTGCAGCGCTCGCAAGGTCCCCCTGCTCAAGAAAGCACATATACATGCCCGTCTGAAGTTTGCCAATGAACATCTGAATGATTCAGAGGAGAACTGGGTGAAAGTGTTGTGGTCAGATGAGACCAAAATGGAACTCTTTGGCATCAACTCAACTCGCCGTGTTTGGAGGAGGAGGAATGCTGCCTATGACCCCAAGAACACCATCCCCACCGTCAAACATGGAGGTGGAAACATTATACTTTGGGGGTGTTTTTCTGCTAAGGGGACAGGACAACTTCACCACATCAAAGGGACGATGGACGGGGCCATGTACCGTCAAATCTTGGGTGAGAACCTCCTTCCTTCAGCCAGGGCATTGAAAATGGGTTGTGGATGGGTATTCCAGCATGACAATGACCCAAAACAATGACTTAATGACTTGGAGAAGATCTGCAAATAGGAGTGGGACAAAATCCCTCCTGAAATGTGTGCAAACCTGGTGGCCAACTACAAGAAACGTCTGACCTCTGTGATTGCCAACAAGGGTTTTGCCACCAAATACTAAGTCATGTTTTGCAGAGGGGTCAAATACTTATTTCCCTCATTAAAATGCAAATCAATTTATAACATTTTTGACATGCGTTTTTCTGGATTTTTTTGTTGTTATTCTGTCTCTCACTGTTCAAATAAATATACCATTAAAATTATAGACTGATCATTTCTTTGTCAGTGGGCAAACGTACAAAATCAGCAGGGGATCAAATACTTTTTTCCCCTCACTGTATGCCTGGTCAGATCCCATGGCCAGGAAATATAGTCCCATGTAGCTCAGTTGGTAGAGCATGGCGCTTGCAACGCCAGGGTTGTGGATTCGATTCCCACGGGGGACCAGTATGAAAATGTATGCACTCACTAACTGTAAGTCGCTCTGGATAAGAGCATCTGCTAAATGACTAAAATGTAAAAATCCTCTCTCTGTTGATGAAGACTGAGGTGTGCTTTGAAGTGTTCGTAGTATGAGTGTTTCTTACTGGTGTCGAACGCTGCTTTGAGGGCCTGGATGTCGGTGGCCACCCCTGAGATCCTGTAGATTCCCACCTCGTCGATTCCCCTCTTCTCCACCTCCTCAATGCACTGGCGGACTATGTAAGGCACCTTGGAGCGCTCGCGCCTGTTGGGGGGGACAACCAATATTCATCAGGACTGATATTGCAGTATTATTACTGTAATTAGATTACTGTCAACAATAATTTATTGCGATGCTAATGCTAGAAGTGTAAAAATGTATCATGTTGTTGCAGTTATGTTTGAATAAAAAAAATCAACATGACTTACTTTGTCACCACACTAATTTTGACCCCGAACACCCCACTCTGTTTTTTGGAGGGCGTTCTCTTCAGACTCAAGTCCCGACTCGTAAACTTCATGGAGAACTCCACTTTGATCTGCGGGAGACGATACATACAAAGTGTCAAACAAGCTGCATATTTATTGGTTAATTTGACAGGGACCATCAACAGCAAACATTGCACCAGCTTTTAGCTACATAGCTAATCTGCAGTCCCTACTTTAAACTGTTTAAAATACACAGCTTCCAAGTGCTTTCTTTTGATCATTTCACAACATCCAGGAGTGTAAGTGGATCCAGCGTTGTTAGATGTTTAAACTTTACGGCTGTTTAAAAACACTGTGTTCCGGAGCAATCAGAGAGTTGGCCAAACTCGTAAAGATAATGTTGCATGGCCCTGGCCAACTATAACAACAAGCTTCGTTATAATATCCACACACTAATCCCTAACAGTCATCTTCTATTAACAGGGTTGAGATGTGTAAATGACTGACAGTACCAGATTCAACATTGAAAAAGCGTCTTAGTCCAAGAATAGGCTTAATCTCGGTCCGGGAAACTGGCCCCAAATGTTCCTAAAAAGTCCCTTACCCCGTTCATCTCTATGACGTCCATGTGCCAGTTCTTGGACTGCACTGTCTGAGGGTCCAGCTGAAATACACAGAGAAAGAGAGTACAGTTATAGTCTCTACACAAGCCACATCAATGCATGGCCTCGTAGGAGACAGAGAAGGTACGACAAGAGCAATGAGTGTTCAAATACACGTATCATGGACACAATCACATGGACCCTCACAGAACACACTCTGTATATCATATAGAAGACTGCACTCTAGTAGAGACACTAAAGCCTCATTTCTGGTGCCTGTGTTCTAATACTGCTAACGTCCTCTATCACTACAACCCAGTACCTAGCCAGCTCTCTCTGAGTACTCATGGTTCATTGCACTGGAGGAAAAAGTATGTTTATTAGGAAACAAACACTGCTACGCTCCCATAGTCACCAAAACATAAATGTTACGTTCTCGCCTATGTTTGGTGTTCTACTTGTCACTACACCCCAGTACCTCGCTAGCTCTCTGTGACCTGGACCTCTGCCTACCTAGGGTTCACTGCACTGGAGGAAATAGTATGTTTATTAGGACACAAACACTGTTACGTTCTCTCCCTCTCTAACACCTACCCCAGATGTCTCCCTCCCGTCATGCTTTGGTGAGGCTCTGAGGAGCTCCTTTAAGTCCAGCCAAGAGAACAACGAGGCCCCGCTACAGTTTGTTTTCCGACCCGAGACGAGACTCTCCCCTCAGCATGGGCCAGAAGAGGAGGGCTATTTTCTGACTTCTGCTGTATGTGGAGGAAAAATACCCAGTTTTCCATTTGCCTCCTTGATGGAAATTCACAGACAGGCCTGTCTATATTTAAATGACAAAACATCCCTGGGAACTTATTTTTTTCCGTCATTTAATTTTCAGGATGCTGACATCTGATCAAGTTAAATGGGCTTTACCCCCTGTGTGGATGGAGCAGTGGTGCATGCTGGGTAATGTGCCCCCTCCAGTGTGCGTGCGTATGTGTGTGTTTAGACTGAGAGGAGCCTCTGTAGTCTAGCCAGCCTGAGGGCTGTATGTGGGTCTGTCCCTACCTAACGACATGGATTATCTCTGCATTAAAACCAATTACTGTATATATGAATGGACAATGCCATCGATCACGTGGCACTATTCATTCCTATGTGAAGACGCAATAGCGCATTGAAGCCAAATAAAGTCTGTTAAGATGGCGTCTCATAGAGACATAACATGAGCAGTATGAGCTACTCCAGGAAGTGATGTTGCAGGCTAGCTCAGTGCTGCCCCCTCTCGTTGAGTAACTCAAGTTAAAGGCTGACCGGGGTATTGCAGGTTGCCATTAGCAGCGCCACTATCCCTATAACTTCTTCTGTGTGCGATTTTAAAATAATCGGTTCAAGGACATACATCTGTGTATTAGAAGCTATTATTGGTACCATGATTGTCTTTGACATTTTTTATTTATTTACATGTTTTCTGCTAACAATGCCTGCAGTACTGCGGTCGGCATTGAACGTCAGTGGCTTCAATGAGAGGGGGCAGTCGTTCTCCCCTGATACAAACACACAACAGCCCCTCTTTCACACATCATGAAACAGTCCATTCACCCCAACAGTCCTCCATTGGACTAACTAACATATGTATCAAATTTACCTCCTTTCACTAATGTGAACATGAATCACACTGATTGAGATGAAAATACAGCAAACAAGAAAGCCCCCTTTCTCAAATTAAATCAGAACATCAGGCTAACACACAACAATGGAAGCTCTGCAGATGCCCTTTCTGTTCACTACCATTGTATTGCTATGCTAGTGCTCAGTTTCATATTGTTCCTGTTAGTTCTTGTAAGTTGAACTGTCATCTGGTTGTGGGCCAGGTTCTCTCTACCTCTGCTGAAATGCTTGAGGGTAGAGACAGGGCAGAGTGTCCATTGGGAAAGGGAGACAGGGACAGGGGTTGTGCTTTTCCCCATTTACATTTGGCTGTCTCTAGGGGTAAGCAGCAGCCATGGCTGATGTCTGGCTCACACTCTTCACCATGCTCAGTACACAGGCAGAGCTGGGCCTTTTTCTCATGGTGCCCTGGGAGAATAGAGCTCTGACATGATGTATGATGAGAAGTGTGTGTGTGTTAGATACACACACCAGAGCCACACTCACTAGCATAGCACTTCTACAGCGAGGAGCTAATGCCTTTTATAGGCTGATTCAGCAGTTCCCTGTGTATCACAATTACACTTATGTCATTACTACCTTCCTAGATTATGTGCTTGTTGGTCTTAAAAGCCCCATAATCGTTTATTGCTGAGCGAGCGCAAGGCCAGCACACTTACCTTATCGTAACTTTACAGTAGGGGAGAACTTTGTATTTAGGGAGTGTAATTAATTACCTAATAAAAAGCTTGTTTTGTTATCAGTTACTCAGACATCTATTACCATTAGGGCCAATTTTCCAAGCAGGGTTTGGGCTTTAAATAAGGTTGCCCCTAATCATGGCTATGGGGTCCTGACTACACCAGTGCCAGGAGTCTTTCTGGGCAGGAGCCCAAAATAACAAACAGCCTGATGAGGACTCCTGTACCCATATAGCCCCCCAAAATACATCTCTCTCTCTCTCTCTCTCGTCAAATTGGGTTACATAAAAATACAAAGACCCTTTAATACGTCAGCGCACCCACTGACCCCTCAACCACTCCACCGTTCACTTCTAATCCTCTGCTGCTTTATTAAAAACTACAGGAAGAACTTCTGGCCCTATTTATTCATTTTCCTTGCCTGGGAAGTGAGCTGGTTCAAGGGGAGACAGACCACAAACTGCATAGCTAAGGTATTATTTATAGTGCAAACTGCAACTGATTCAGAATCAGTATGGTTCTACACTATATATTCTCAACCTATCACAGAGGATGGATGGATGGATGGAAGCAAGATACGTTGTATGAAAATGTTGCTTTGAAGTTTAGACATGGAAAGAATGATCTCCACAGTGTGACTTGGGGTTGTGCCCTGCTGGCTGGTAAAACAAAGGGAGATGAGGGGGAAAAAAGTCCAGGAAACCCATCAGAGGGAAGAGTATATGAGGTGAAGCACGCACAAGAAGAAAGGGGGCGGGTCCTCAAAGTCTTCAAAATCCCAAGAGATGAATCACAGAGCCAAATCCTCTCTCTCCAGAGAATCCCTGAAACAGATTGGTAGCGTGTGTTTGTAGAAGAAAGAAAGACAGGAAGAAAGACAGGAAAACCAGGAGGGCTGGTGGAAGGATAAAGGAAACATCCAAACCAAACGATGGTTCCAATCAGGATCTCATCACTCCTCCAAAGCTCAAAGCCTCCTTTGCTCTGCCTAAAACACTGTGACTGACTGGGGAGAGGATCATAACACATGGTGATACTGTATAAATACATATCCACACTGAATACACTGTACAATCATCTATCTTTCATGTGGCACAGAATGTTCTGCATGATAAAAATAGAAGAGGAAAAACTATTAATTCTATTAGTGCTTAAATGTCAAATACTTCGAGAGAAAAGCGAGAGAGAGCAAAGACATAAAAAGCATGAGGGTGAGTATGTGCATGAATGAGTAGCGATGTGATGTGTTCCGTTTAGCCAGCATGATGCTCCGTTTGGTGGGAACACAATGTTCTCTGAGCAGCCCCTAGGCTCTGAGGGCTGACTCTCCTGGTGTGTGTGTGTGTGTGTGTCTGTGTGCGCGCAATGCTACACTACATGACCAAAAGCATGTGGACACCTGCTCGTCGAACATCTCATTCCAAAATCATGGGCATTAATATGGAGTTGGTCCCCCCTTTGCTTCTATAACAGCCTCCACTCTTCTGGGAAGGCTTTCCACAAGATGTTGGAACATTGCTGCGGGGACTTGCTTCCATTCAGCCACAAGAGCATTAGTGAGGTCGGGCACTGATGTTGGGCAATTAGGCCTGGCTCACAGTCGCGTTCCAATTCATCCCAAAGGTGTTCGATGGGGTTGAGGTCAGGGCTCTGTGCAGGCCAATGAAGTTCTTCTACACCGATCTCGGAAAACCATTTCTGTATGGACCTCGCTTGTGTAGGGGGCCATTTTCATGCTGAAACAGAAAAGGGCCTTCCCCAAACTGTTGCTACAAAGTTGGAAGCACAGAATCGTCTAGAATGTCATTGTATGCTGTAGAGTTAAGTTTTCCTTTCACTGGCACTAAGGGGCCTGGACTGAACCATGAAAAACAGCCCCAGACCATTATTCCTCCTCCACCAAACTTTACAGTTGACACTATGCATTCGGGCAGGTAGAGTTCACCTGGCATCCGCCTAACCCAGATTCGTCCGTCGGACTGAAAGATGGTGAAGCGTGATTCATCACACCAGAGAACGCGTTTCCAATGCTCCAGGTTCCAATGGGGGTGAGCTTTACATCACTCCAGCCGACGCTTGGCATTGCGCATGGTGATCTTAAGCTTGTGTGTGCGGCTGCTCGGACATGGAAACCCATTTCATGAAGCTCCCAAAGAACAGTTCTTGCTGACGTTGCTTCCAGAGGCAGTTTGGAACTCTGCAGTGAGTGTTGCAACAGAGGATACGACTTTTACGCGCTTCAGTACTCGGCGGTCCCGTTCTGTGAGCTTGTGTGGTCTAACACTTCGCGTCTGAGCCATTGTTGCTCTTAGACGTTTCCACTTCACAATAACAGTTGACCGGGGCAATTTTACGAACTGACTTGTTGGAAAGGTGGCATCATATGACGGTGCCACGTTGAAAGTCACTGAGCTCTTCAGTAAGGCCATTCTACTGCCAATGCCAGCCCACGCACACACACACACACAGTGTTACTATGGCAACCTAGAGGGGGAAATAATTGATGATGGAAAGTGAGTGGATGAGAAGAGAAGACAGGAGGAGAGCCAACTCAGGTTACTGTGATGTCACCTCTCCTATCTGTAGTGTGCTTCTTCATACGGTATAGAATAGGTCAGTGAATAGTGGCTACAACGTGTTCTAACTTAAGGCACATCCACTGAGTATACATCAAAACAGGCAGGCAAACACATAAACTGTACATACACACACACACTGTACAGTCGTGGTCAAAAGTTTTGAGAATGACACAAATACTAATTTTCACAAAGTCTGCTGCCTCAGTTTTGATGATGGCAATTTGCATATCAGATGAATTGCAATTAATTGCAAAGTCCCTCTTTGCCATGAAAATGAACTTAATCCCCAAAAAAACATTTCCAATGCATTTCAACCCTGCCACAAAAGGACCAGCTGCCATCATGTCAGTGATTCTCTCGTTAACACAGGTGAGAGTGTTGACGAAGACAAGGCTGGAGATCACTCTGTCATGCTGATTGAGTTAGAATAACAGACTGGAAGCTTTAAAAAGGAGGGTGGTGCTTGAAATCATTGTTCTTCCTCTGTTAACCATGGTTACCTGCAAGGAAACATGTGCCATCATCATTGCTTTGCACAAAAAGGGCTTCACAGGCAAATATATTACTGCTAGTAAGATTGTACCTAAATCAACCATTTATCGGATCATCAAGAACTTCAAGGAGAGAGGTTCAATTGTTGTGAAGAAGGCATCAGGGCACCCAAGAAAGTCCAGCAAGCGCCAGGACCGTCTCCCAAAGTTGATTCAGCTGCGGGTTCGGGGCACCACCAGTGCAGAGCTTGCTCAGGAATGGCAGCAGGCAGGTGTGAGTGCATCTGCACGCACAGTGAGGCAAATACTTTTGGAGGATGGCCTGGTGTCAAGAAGGGCAGCAAAGAAGCTACTTCTCTCCAGGAAAAACATCAGGGACAGACTGATATTCTGCAAAAGGTACAGGGATTGGACTGCTGAGGACTGGGGTAAAGTCATTTTCTCTTTCCGATTGTTTGGGGCATCCGGAAAACACCTTGTCCGGAGAAGACAAGGTGAGCGCTACCATCAGTTCTGTGTCATGCCAACAGTAAAGCATCCTGAGACCATACATGTGTGGGGTTGCTTCTCAGCCAAGGGAGTGGGCTCACTCACAATTTTGCCTAAGAACACAGCAATGAATAAAGAATGGTACCAACACATCCTCCGAGAGCAACTTCTCCCAACCATCCAAGAACAGTTTAGTGACGACCAATGCCTTTTCCAGCATGATGGAGCACCTTGCCATAAGGCAAAAGTGATAACTAAGTGGCTCGGGGAACAAAACCAGGAAACTCCCCAGACCTTAATCCCATTGAGAACTTGTGGTCAATCCTCAAGAGGCGGGTGGACAAACAAAACCCCACAAATTCTGACAAACTCCAAGCATTGATTATGCAAGAATGGGCTGCCATCAGTCAGGATGTGGCCCAGAAGTTAATTGACAGCATGCCAGGGCGGATTGCAGAGGTCTTGAAAAAGAAGGGTCAACACTGCAAATATTGACTCTTTGCATAAACTTAATGTAATTGTCAATAAAAGCCTTTAACACTTATGGAATGTTTGTAATTATACTTCAGTATACCATAGTAACATCTGACAAAAATATCTCATAACACTGAAGCAGCGAACTTTGTGAAGACCAATACTTGTGTCATTCTCAAAACTTTTGACCAATACTATACTGTGCGTATGATGAGATGCCCTTCTACACATCCGACTGCTGTTGCCTATGGGGGACAGAGCACAGCCCATGCAGGATTTAATTAGTTGGACAAACAGATGCTGAGGTCCCTCTGGAGATGTTTATATTCTAGATAGATCTCTCACTGACTGAACTCTCCACAACCCTCCACAGAATACTGTATCTACAACACAGGGCAGTCTCAATCCCCATCACCATCAACCGGTTACCTGCTTCTAACATAGGACATCAAATGACAGATCTAGGTTGGGGAATTTGGTGAAAGAAACTGGTTTATGAATGATGCATGTGAAACTGTCATGGCTCTTCTTGGGAAGAAAAACAACTGTAGGTCAGAAAGTATTCATACCCCTTGACTTATAACACATTTTGTTGTGTTACAGCCTGAATTCAAAATTGATTAAATATAACAATTTTCTCATGCATCTACACAAAATACCCCATAATGACAGAGTGAAAACATGTTCTTAGAAATGTTCGCAAATGTTTTGAAAATTAAATACAGAAATCTAATTTACATAAGTATTCACACCCCTTTGCTATGACACTCCAAATTGAGCTCAGGTGCATCCAATTTACTTTGATCATCCTTGAGATGTCGCTACAACTTGATTGGGGTCCACCTGTGGCCAATTTAATTGTTTGGGCATGATTTTGAAATAAACACACCTGTCTATATAAGGTCCCACAGTTGACAGTGCATGCCAGAGCAGAAACTATACCATGAAGTCCAAGGAACTGTACAGAGATCTCTGAGATGTGATGAGGCATATCTGGGGAAGGGTATAAAACCATTTCTAGAGTGTTGAAAGTTTCCAAGAGCAGTGTTCTCCATCATTGGGAAATTGAAAAAAATATCGAACTACCCAAACTCTGCCTAACTAACCAAACTGAGCAACCGGGCAAGAAGAACCTTAGTCAGGGAGGTGACCAAGAACCCAATGACCACTCTGACACAACTACAGAGTTCCTTGGCTGAGATGGGAGAACATGCCAGAAGGACAACAGTCTTCACCAATCTGGGTTTTATGGGAGAGTGACCAGACGGAGGCCACTCCTGAGAAAAAGGCACATGACAGCACACCTGAAGTTTGCAAAAAGGCACATGAAAGACTACGACCATAAGGCAAAAGATTCTGTGGTCTGAATGTAAAGCGCTATGTCTGGAGAAAACCAGGCACAGCTCATCACCCATCTAACAACATCCCTACCATGAAGCATGGTGGTGGCATCATCATGCTATGGGGATGCTTTTCAGCGGCAGGGACTGGGAGACTGGTAAGGATAGAGGGAACAATGAATGGCGCCAAATACAGACAAATCCTTGATGAGATACTGCTTCAGAGTGCAAACGACAGACTTGGGCGAATATTTACGTTCCATCAGGACAATAACTCCAAGCATACAGCCAAAGTAACGCTGGAATGGCTTCAGAACAAGAATGTGAAAGTCCTTGAGTGGCCCAGGCAAATCGCAGACAAGAATCCCTTTGAAAATCTGTGGAAAAACTTGAAGATTGCTGTTCACCACTGCTCCCCACCTAACCTAACAGATCTTGAGAAAATCTGCAAGGAAGAATGAGAAAATCCCCAAATCCAGATGTGCAAAGCTGATACGGACATACCCAAGACGACTCAAAGCTGTAATCGCCGCCAAAGGTGCTTCTACAAAGTATTCACTCAGGGGTGTGAATACTAGTGTAAATTAGATATTTCTGTATTTCATTTTCAATAAATGAGAATATATATATTTTTAAACATGTTTTCACTGTCATTATAGGTTATTGTGTGTAGATGGGTGAGAAAAAAAAACATATTTAATCCATTTTGAATTCAGGCTTCAACACAACAAAATGTGGCATAAGTCAAATGGATATGAATACTTTCTGAAGGCACTGTACATACATACATAAATACATATATACAAACACACAAACATACATACATACATAAAAACACACAATCATACATAGATACAGGATGTATATGGAACTTTAAAGCACTGGTAGGTTTCACAACATGACAATCTTGTAAATTGACAATGACATCAGGGAAGAAACGTGTCAGTGTGCACTCTGATTATACAGACATTCTCCATAATCTTTAATTAATCCATTGTTGAATTAATTGGGAATGTTAATGTATTTTGGCAGTGATATTTAAAGCAGAACTTAATTATGATAAAGTATGGATTTATCATACCCTGAATTAATTAATTCCTCTTCATATTTTATTTTGTACTTTGCTACATTCCCTGTACCTCTCACTTTCTGTTCACTGGGAGACTAATTTAAATATTAATTCAGTGACTGACTGTTCTGTTTTAAATTAGCAATAAACAGCAATGTTCTCATCCAGTTTAATTAGAAAACTAACTAGCTCAACTGAATGGGCCGTGGATTTCATTTTATTAAAAACACCAACCTAGGGATTGTTTTTGTTTATTAAGTCCTGTAAAAACAAGACCACCTTTGGCAGTGATTACAGCCTCAAGTATTCTTGGTATGACTCTACAAGCTTGACACACATGTATTTGGGGAGTTTCTCCCATTTTTCTCTGCAGATTCTCTCAAGCTCTGTCAGGTTGGATGGGGAGCATCGCTACACAGCTATTTTCAGCTCTCTCCAGAGATGTTAGATAGCGTTCAAGTCCGGGCTCTGGCTGGGCCACTCATGGACATTCAGAGATTTGTCCCAAAGCCACTCCTGCGTTGTCTTGGCTGTGTACTTAGGGTCATTGTCCGGTTGGAAGGTGAACCTTCGCCCCCAGTCTGAGGTCCTGAGCATTCTGGAGCAGGTTTTCATTAAGGATCTCTCTGGACTTGGCTCCGTTCATCTTTCCCTCGATCCTGACTAGTCTCCCAGTCCCTGCCGCTGAAAAACATCCCCACAGCATGATGCTGCCACCACCATGCTTCACCGTAGGGATGGTGCCAGGTTTCCTCCAGACGTGGCACTTGGCATTCAGGCCAAAGAGTTCAATCTTGGTTTCATCAGACCAGAGAATCTTGTTTCTCATGGTCTGAGAGTCTTTAGGTGCCTTTTGGCAAACTCCAAGCGGGCTGTCATGTGCCTTTTACTGAGGAGTGGCTTCCGTCTGGCCACTCTGCCATAAAGGCCTGATTGGTGGAGTGCTGCAGAGATGGTTGTCCTTCTGGAAGGTTCTCCCTTCTCCACAGAGGAACTCTGGAGCTCTGTCAGAGTGACCATCGGGTTGACCAAGGGCCTTCTCTCACGATTGCTCAGTTTGGCCGGCCGGCCAGCTCAAGGAAGAGTCTTGGAGGTTCTAAACTTCTTCCATTTAAGAATGATGGAGGCCATTGTGTTCTTGGGGAGCTTCAATGCTGCAGAAATGTTTTGGTACCCTTCCCCAGATCTGTGCCTCGACACAATCCTGTCTCGGAGCTCTACGGACAATTCCTTCGACCTCATGGCTTGGTTTTTACTATGACATGCACTGTCAACTGTGGGACCTTATATAGACAGGAGTGTGCCTTTCCAAATCATTTCCAATGAATTTAATTTACCACAGGTGGACTCCAATCAAGTTGTAGAAACATCTCAAGGATGATCAATGGAAACAGGATGCACCTGAGCTAAATTTCGAGTCTAATAGCAAAGGGTCTGAATACTTACGTAAATAAGTATTTTCGCTTTGTCATTATGGGGTATTGTGTGTAGATTAATGAGGGAAAATGTTTATTTAATCCATTTTAGAATAAGGCTGTAACGTAACAAAATGTGGAAAAAGTAAAGGGGTCTGAATACTTTCCGAATGCACTGTAAATCCCTGTACTTAGTAATAATATGATGCTTCGGTAAAGAGCTGCTGATGTCATGATGGACATGTGAGGAGGCCGCTTGACTCAGTCGCCATGAGCTTCCTTACAAGACTTCCTGGTTTGAGCCAACCAGCATGCGTTCTCAGCAGGCGGAGAGTTGTGATTGGCCATAGACCAGCCCAAGCATCCTATCACAGCCTTCTAAGGGAAGCGTGTCTCAGTCATACAGTATAAGATCCAGCTTCATAAACATCATGCAACATGAAGGCATCTGCTTTAAGACAAGTCTTACACAACAGCATGTTCCTGCCTGCAGCAAGCGTGACTAACAACACTGATGATTTACATGTACATTTAGTACAGGAGATAGTGTGACCTGTCCTTTAGGTCACCAACACGGACACTCTAATGTTCTCACAGTTCTGTTCTATACACTACAGAGAGTGGTCCCATGCAGGGCAGCCTCACAGTAGCCTGCAGAGTTGAGGACGTTCTTATGTAAAACCCCTGAGAGTAAAATGATAGGCGGTTACAACAACGTCTCTCTGTTTTACATTTTAGTCATTTAGCAGACGCTCTTATCCAGAGCGACTTACAGTTAGTGTTTTATCTTCTGTTAACTCATAGAAGGGCAAATTGAGGTACAAAACCATGATGCATTAATATATATATATATATATATAATTCTGAGGACTAAGATGTTAAAATGTGCGCCAGAATGTTGTACATTTTCACCCCAAATTCTCATTACCGAAATGTGTCCGGATTACATTTAGGTCATTTTATACATGTTTACATAATAATAGTTATGAAAAAGATATGTACAGATCCGTATCTCAGTGATTCAAGAGGACATTTCGTGAAAAATGACACTTGAGATTATTTTATTTGTATACAGTTTCGTGAGAATGACCCAGAAGTAATTTTTCAAATGCATTTTCAATACCTTGATTACCTTCTTTTTGGTCTTGGATGGAAAGTGTTTTTTATTAGTCCTCATTGTGGGAATTATCAGAGTATTTAGAGTGATGATATGGGTATCCAAAGAAGTGTTTGTATAGGTCATTTGTAAATCAGGTACATACCGGTAAACAGCATTTAGAAACACCATTTATACTGTTTGAGAGGATATTTTGCTTCACTTTCATTCCTCTAGTCTAGCCGAATGCTAATAGTCTTTGTGTAGGTAGACACTCGTTAGCCAAAACGACCCACCACTCGTATGAATCCAGAGGGGGTTAACACTCCTAGACTATTTGGATATGTGAGTGAGTGAGTGAGTGAGTGACTGAGTGTGTGAGTGCGTGAGAGAGAGACCCCACTCTTCTACCAGGGGCAGCAGGTTTGACCCAGCCCAGCAGGGAGAGGGTCATCTTGGGTAGCAGCCTGAGGATGCTCCCCTGCCCCCCTCCTGGAGCGCATTAGCCAGCCCGAGGGTGTCTGGTGGGGGATCGTGGGGGACAGTGAAGGGCTGGACCCCCTGTAGTGACAGTCAGATTTATATGCCCTATAAAATGCTCCATTAGGGTACTGGCAGGCATTTTAAGGCCCTTTAAAGAGGCACGGGGGTATGAAACAGTAATATGTCATCTACACTAATCAGCATACTCAAATGGAATGCCATCATTTTCTGTGTGGAGAAATATGATTAGGGATTGAGAGAGGGATGGGCGTAATAGTTATACTTCATTCTCTGTCATACCCCAAACCAGCAGGAAACTGCTTTTGTTCCCGTTTTCCCTGCTTTTGCTCGTCATGATTCCTAAGGATACTGTAACCAAGGGGTAAAACACAATAACTCGCCAAAATGGAAATCAGTATGGAAGAGGACATAGCCTCAGAACACAATTAACAGAAAACATCATGATCCCGGTATTAAAAACGGGCATAATATCGGATTCAGCCTCAAATAAACCTTTTCTCTGCCAGCCTAAGCTCTACTGGAGTCCCTCGCTCTTCTTCCTCTGCATAGTCTTAATTAGAGCTGTAAAATAAATGATCCTGCTCAGTCTGTACTCAGTACTCACCTCCCTCTTCTTCCTCCCAGTTTAAAACTCACTAACACACGTTACTCAACAAACACACACCCCTCGTCTTCCTCCATCTAAATCTCACTAATACATGCTAGCAGCTACAGTCTACTCAATACACTGTCACGCCCTGCAGTCTCCTCAACACACTGTCACGCCCTGCAGTCTCCTCAACACACTGTCACGCCCTGCAGTCTCCTCAACACACTGTCACGCCCTGCAGTCTCCTCAACACACTGTCACGCCCAGCAGTCTCCTCAACACACTGTCACGCCCTGCAGTCTCCTCAACACACTGTCACGCCCTGCAGTCTCCTCAACACACTGTCACGCCCTGCAGTCTCCTCAACACACTGTCACGCCCTGCAGTCTCCTCAACACACTGTCACGCCCTGCAGTCTCCTCAACACACTGTCATGCCCTGCAGTCTCCTCAATACACTGTCACGCCCTGCAGTCTCCTCAAACACTGTCACGCCCTGCATCTCACGCCCTGCAGTCTCCTCAATACACTGTCACGCCCTGCAGTCTACTCAACACTGTCACGCCCTGCAGTCTCCTCAACACACTGTCACGCCCTGCAGTCTCCTCAATACACTGTCACGCCCTGCAGTCTCCTCAACACACTGTCACGCCCTGCAGTCTCCTCAACACACTATCACGCCCAGCAGTCTCCTCAACACACTGTCACGCCCTGCAGTCTCCTCAACACACTGTCACGCCCTGCAGTCTCCTCAACACACTGTCACGCCCAGCAGTCTCCTCAACACACTGTCACGCCCTGCAGTCTCCTCAACACACTGTCACGCCCTGCAGTCTCCTCAACACACTGTCACGCCCAGCAGTCTCCTCAACACACTGTCACGCCCTGCAGTCTCCTCAACACACACTCTCACACCCTGCAGTCTGTTCAACACACACACTGTTCAACACACACTCTCTCTTCCCTTCCTCTCCATCTTAGCACCCTTTAACAGAGTGGTAATAGTAGGGATTATATTGCCCCTCTGGTTCAAAGCCTGATTCTCTGTGCTGCTGTAGGGTAAATGTGGTGGGGAATAATTCACACTTTTGACCCCAGTCGGGTTAGGATCGGGCTGGAACTGAGAGATCATTCATAGACCTGACGTTTACTCAGACCCAATCATCAAAGACTCATTCAACATGAATGAATGAGACCTCATAGCTTGCATCCACGAGTGTGAAAGCATGCTCCTATGGGAGGATGTCTGTGTTAGAGGAGAGAAAAAAGAAAGTGCATGATCAAGTGTGTGAAAATATATGCAAGCGTGAGAGTATGCATGTGTGTGTGAAGGTGTGTATTATACTGTGATTATGAGAGAGGTACAGATGTGTAAACACAGGTCAATGTGGCTCTGTGTGTGTAAACTGAGTATCAGTGTATTTAGAAAACTAACATTGTGAGTGTGCAGCACTTAGCTGAAGCAAAACAGCCCAAACAGACAGCCTACTCTCCTCCCTCCCTCCCCTCCTCTCGCTCAAATCCACATATCAGGCCTGCAGTGCAGGAGGACTCAGGAGGAGTGTGTGGACAGGTCTGGGATCAGCTGAGATCGATGGGGTAAAGTTGAAGGGATTTCTGCCTGTAATCCAGGCCTGATCCTGGTTTAGGCTGCAGTGTCAGGAGAAACTAGCAGAGAGGAGATAGACCTGTCACTGTCAGCTCCAGCCAGCAGAAGCAGGGAACGCCCTTTATTGACCCGTCTAAAGCAGACCTGTTCAAGTACTAAGAATGGTCAGGGTTTTCACTTCTGCGGCTATTCTATTGGTTCCAAATTTTGCCTGGTAAACTCAATCTATTTGAAATGATTTCAAACGATTACATGAAATGATTTCAAATAGTATTTGAACCCAGGTCTGGTCTAAAGTGCTGCTGCCTGCTGCAGACAGAGTTCACTCCAGCCCTGATCTTGGATCCTTTGTTCTAGTATAGCACCACAGTTCTGTCCTCCTTTATCATGCACATCAATTACTGCTGTTGCATAAAGTGCTGCCCGTGCAGATATATACAGACCTAGTTTCCTCGGTCTAACACTGTGTATTGCTGCATATATAACCACAGAAATACACCCAGAAACTCCCACCATATGAAGCAATGCAGAGTGGCTAATGGATACCAGCACGCTGATATCAAACAGGCATAGACCAACTGCCTCTGTAAAATACCTGTAGCACAGGGGATAAAAACAGTATCTCCTAAAAATAACCTTCTTCCTCCCACGCATGAGTCATGGCCTAGAACCTGAAGCTAAGGTATATCTACAACAGCAGCTCTGTGTGTGTGTGTGTGTGTGTGTGTGTGTGTGTGTGTGTGTGTGTGTGTGTGTGTGTGCATGCATGTGTAAGTGTATATTCCCCAGACAGAGGAGTCAGTCAAACTTGAAAGAGTAATAAGCTGGACCATGCTTCTCCTCCGCCTGTTGCTGGGGTGACAGTAATTGCCATGTCTAATTAGTGAGGAATGTGTCAGTGATGCATCTCTTGCGAGGTTATCAGGTGCCCTAATGAGTCTCACCCAGGGTTATCAGGTGCCCTAATGAGTCTCACCCAGGGTTACCAGGTGCCCTAATGAGTCTCACCCAGGGTTATCAGGTGCCCTAATGAGTCTCACCCAGGGTTACCAGGTGCCCTAATGGGTCTCACCCAGGGTTACCAGGTGCCCTAATGAGTCTCACCCAGGGTTACCAGGTGCCCTAATGAGTCTCACCCAGGGTTACCAGGTGCCCTAATGAGTCTCACCCAGGGTTACCAGGTGCCCTAATGGGTCTCACCCAGGGTTACCAGGTGCCCTAATGGGTCTCACCCTGGGTTACCAGGTGCCCTAATGAGTCTCACCCAGGGTTACCAGGTGCCCTAATGGGTCTCACCCAGGGTTACCAGGTGCCCTAATGGGTCTCACCCTGGGTTACCAGGTGCCCTGCTGAGAGGATTGTTAGTCATATCCAACCTCTACCAACACAACACACTCTGGGTATAGGGTGCCCTTAGGCACAGATCTAGGATCAGTTTACTGTCACCAAAATCCTCACCTCAACCATTAGTGGGGAAATGCTAAACTGGGTTAGATCAGTGTCTAGGGGTATAATTTCTCAGAACAGAACAGCAGAGGGAGCAGTCTCAGACGCTCAGCTACACCAAAACACCTCTGATAACCTTAACAGATCGGCTATCACACAGAGAGAGGTAAATCATCATTCCCCTTCACTGGCTTTGCACTGAGGAGAGAGGGCAAAAAGAGCAGAGTGGTAGACGTGGAAGGAGGATGAGAAAGTGGTGGGAGGGGTGTAATGTGTGAAATCACTATGGCATCTCACACACACACACACACACACAGTACTCAGGGCAATAACACTGCAGCTCCGCACCAACAGTAAATTCTCCCTTGTACCTAAATCATTCATTTAATGCATTTCACTACCAGTCTGTCATCTAATAACATCAGGACAAAGCAGAGAGCTACAGTACCTGTTAGGTGTACATTTCACCACAGTGCATTGAAGTACACAGAGAGACCTTGTCAGTCCAGTAAGACCATAGAAAGAGATAGAAAGGGATGACAACAAACACACAGAGAAAGAGGGAGTAAAAAGCAAAAAAAAGATTAACACAATGACAGAAGGAAGACCGTGACTAAGATGATAAAAGGAGAAAGAGAGAAAATAACAAAAAGGAGGACAAGAAAGAAAGAAAGGAGGGGGGACCTTTTGTCTGAGGAGCTTGCTGCGTACGCGGCCCCATAGCTTGGCCCCGGTGTTGGTGTGCCTCTTGATGGCTGAGGAGGGGGTTTGAGGCTGCTGAAGCTGCTGCTGGTTGTTCTGCTGGTGATCCACCACACAGCAGTGCTGCTCCAGCCGCTCACACACTGTGTTCAGGTTCACATCTGACACCAGGACCTCCGTCATCCTACCTGAGACTGTGTGCTGAGACTTCTGGCCCAAAAGGTTAATATGAACTAACTAACGGGGAGTAAAATCCCTAAGGTATCCACTTCCCGAGTGTTCAGATCCAGCACTGTCCAGAACAACCTCTCGTCTAAGGTTGGGATTTTCTTTTAAATGTTGAGAGATTAAAAAAGGTCTCCCTCAGTTGATGTTCATTTGGAAATGAAGCTAAAGAAAATAAAGGTAAAAATATACGTTTCAAATCTAAGATGAGGCAATAAGGAAGGCACAGGGTATGAGAGGTGGCTTCAGTCTGTGAGAACAGAGAATACTTATATGGTTTTCAGTCTTCTTCTAAAGCCGGAGAATTCCACACTGGTCCCTCTCTGGGATGTCAAGCTTATTCCACACTGTGCTTCTGCCAGCATCTCCACGGCTCACAATCTGATTTCCAGTAACGCAAACAGAGACACGGAGCGCAGTGCGAGGGAGAGGGGGAGCACGCGAGAGAGAAGAGAGAGAGATAGGAGGAGGAGGGAGGGAGAGAGGGAGCGTGGGCAGAAGGAGGGGGAGTGAATGAGCTGCTGCCGTCACCAACCCTGTTTCTCCAGATGTGAGAACACACCTCCAAAGAACGGAGAAAAAGAGAGATTAAGAAAGAAAGAACTACAGAGAGAGAGAGAAAGATGACAAACCCTGCTGTTTCCCTTTCCTCTTAGCCTTCATGCATGTCATCTTTTCCCACAACTGGTTACCAATCAAGGAAGTGAGTAAAAGAGGGAAAGTAAGGAATGTGAGAGGGGAAAAGGGAAATGTGGGGTCACACAAATCCAAAATAATAAATGTGACTGTGTCAAGAGGGTGATTTAGACCCAATCTGAACTGGGACCACTTTCAGCAACAAAGAACAATAATGTTTTTTCTGCTGATTTGAAGGGTGAAAAAAAGGTGTTAAATAGTTTTATCATCTCACACTGACACACCCTCTCGTAATGTGACAAGCACATATTTTTCCTCCATGCCTTCTGTCCTTCTCTCTCTCACCCCCCCCATCTCTCCCTCTTTCTCCTCCCCCCTTTTTCTCTTCCCCTCTCTCCCTCCTCCTCCTTATACTTCTCTCATCCTGTGTGCATGTTGCCATGCGTTTTCTCCAGATGACTTCTCCTCCACGCTTCCACACTCCACTGAGTCCTCCGCCCATTATGTAAGTTTGTGTGTGTGTGCCTGCACATATTTGTGTGTGTGTGTATGCGTATATATCAGTGCATGCGTGTGTTAAGAGTGGCAGATTACTCCCACTCCTCCAGCCCCTCTACCCTGCCCCCCAGCCCAGGGGTCCATAGGGACAGAAGCAGGGCTAATTGACCCCCAGTGTTTCCACTACGCTAGTTAACCCCTTACCCCCACCACCCTCAGCCGTCCAGACACACATCAGGGAATCTGTAATATGGGTCTTTCTATAAACTAGGGTACCAGTGAGGATTTCCTACAATGGACAACTTGTTACAGCTGTTGATAAGTCATTGATAATAATCTGCCAATTGTTTTCGTAATTACATTATGATGGGGGGGGGGGGGAATCATAGCTATATTCAATAAAGTCCACGAGTTGATTTAAAACCTATGTTTAACCCTTTATCACAGTTGTTGTCTTGACAGATTTGTCCAAAATCTTGTGAAACAAAACATTACTTTTCTGTCCTTGCATTTTTGGCAGTGTAAGTTGTTGTTATATCCTATATTAAGCATGAATCAGTTAAATTAGACATTGAACTTGAACCCTGTGAGAATCCTGGATCTAGATGTCCGGCAATTTTTTGTATAGAAATGCAGTGTAGCTACGTAACATTTTGTGTTACATGGTGAAAACAGTTTTCATGTGAAAAATCGAATGCTTCTAACCGAAAGTCACACCTTACCTTGATACTTAAAACCTAAATCGATACTGTCATTAATGTGGTTCTTCAATAATTATGCATAATACATGTTGGATGCGCATTTGGTGTTGAACTGTTTAATTACACTGATATTTTCACATCATCATCATCTGATCCAGGGAGGAATTTTCCAAATGAGAGCCAAGTGAGGAACAGCTGTTGTGATAGTCAGTGCATGCAAAGCAACAACAGCCCCAGTGCTGGAAAAAAGGTGTTTGCGAGGAATGTCCAGAATATTTTGCTGTCTCATTCGTTATGCTGGTGAAGACAGTTGTGCCTGGATCCACGTTGGATCTAATATCCCTAGCGAATTGAGGTTGGTAATCTGTTGTCTGCCTGATTTACAGCAGGGTCTCATTAGATTTAACAGCGAAGGCATCAAGGTAATTAGTTTATGTTTTAATATGTTTTTGTGCCTCGGATTGGTCTCCTGTGCGCAATTGTGTAGGATAGACTATTGCGCAACACCCAACGCTCTTCCTATTAATTATTCTGATATAATGACAACGAATTACATAGCCTAGTGGGCTTTATTCACAATATGATCAGGTAATAAAATACATTTTGTTTTCCATGTTACACCTGCCATTTTAAACAATCAGTGATGGAAAAAGTACTCAATTGTCACGGGCCCCGTGTAGCTCAGTTGGTAGAGCATGGCGCTTGCAACGCCAGGGTTGTGGGTTCAATTCCCACGGGGAGCCAGTATGACAAAAATAAATAAAATATATAATAATGTATGCACTCACTAACTGTAAGTCGCTCTGGATAAGAGCGTCTGCTAAATGACTAAATGTAATGTAAATGTCCAGATACCTTAATAGAAAATGACTCAAGTAAAAGTGAAAGTCACCCTTACAAAATACTACTTGAGTAAAAGTATAAAAGTATTTGGTTTTAAATATACTTTAGTATCAAAAGTAAATGGAATTGCTCAAATGTACTTAAGTATCAAAAGTAAAAGTAAAAGTAAAAATCTTTTCAAATTCCTTATATTAAGCAAACCAGTTGGCACCATGTTTTTGTATTTTTGTATTGACTGATAGCCAGGGGCACATTCCAACACTCAGACATAATTTACAAACAAAGCATTTGTGTTTAGTGAGTCCGCCAGATCAGAGGCAGTAGGGATGACTAGGGATGTTCTCTTGACAAGTGTGTGAATTGGACCATTTTCCTGTCAAAATGTAACGAGTGCTTTTGGGTGTCAGGGAAAATGTATGGGGTAAAAAGTACATAATTTCCTTTAGGAATGTAGTGAAGTAAAAGTAAAAGTAGCCAAAAATATAAATCGTAAAGTAAAGTACAGATACCCAAAAAATCTACTTAAGTAGTACTTTAAAGTATTTTTACTTAAGTACTTTACACCTCTGTAAACAATACAAGGGTCTTGAAGTAGCCTACTTGAACTTGGACCTCAGAAATTCAAGGTACTGGAATAGGCCTATATTGAAAATCAGACATTTCCTCAATTTGGTGCTTGAAAAGACCTTGTTATTATTGTAGCCAATGTATAAGTTCTCCTGCTCCCTTATAAATATCTGTGATTTCATTTTTCATCAGTTTTTGTGAGAGATGTGGCAACTTTCGTTTGTTTCCCTCAATTGAAGGGTGTTGCGCTACTCTGTCGCAGTAAAACCACGTGCGATTATTATGTGGATGACAACATCTGTTGGCTTCAATTTGTCTTTCCATACAAATCCTTCCATTAAAAAAGGAACCTGGTTTTTCATCACTTTCTCATTATAAAAACAGCGATGGTGAGATTAATGCTCCCTCTATTCATGGCTTTATTATGTGTGCCTGCGTCGGCCACACAGGCTACAGAAAAATCGCCATTTAGTCAGGCAATGTCCACATTATCACCACATATTTGAGAATAATGTTAATATCAAGGCCTACCAAAATGCATAATTAAAGTGGTAATAGCCTACTTTTTCTTTTACACGTTTTGCATGCTTTTTGTGTGTGGGGGGGTCTGTATTAGGCCCTATGTGTACAATTATATAAATTATACAATTATATAACATTGAGGTCCTTTAACATTACAATTAAGTGCTTGGAAATGTCTGTATGAACCTTCTTAAAGGATGTATAGTCCTAGGCCTATGTTGTTGTTTAGGTGGAGTTATGGGCCAACTTGCATATATTCACTTTTATTCCTCTAAGTACACATGTGTAAATGCATAAAAATCTTTTTTATTTTTGTTTCAAACCATTTTGAAATGTTGATCCCAATGTCACACATTGGCCCTATTATTTATAGAAAGACCCATATACAATATATTATATCCAGCTACTCTGGAGACTACTACAGTGAATCAGAATCTACTCTCAGAAAGCACAACTGGGGATATACAGTCGGACATGGATGATGGATGGTTATGCTACACGCTTTTAAAGGGAATAGTACATTGTATAATGGATGGATCGATCCAGGAAGGGATGTCAAAGCCATGCTTGTCATAATTTATCTGGCTCCATATCTATTCTCCATTTATTTCTATGAAGGAGAAAAGGATAACGACGGAAGGCTGCATTTCATAGCATAACAGAGACAGATTGTCTCCTCTCCACAACAGTAGCTATGTATGGTCACACAAACCCCCTATGCGCTCCATACTGAGGTAGACTGATATCTTCAGATAGCAGCACTGAGTCATGGGAGGGGAACACACAGAGGGTACCGGGCAGATAACACACATATCATATATGAAAGGAGGAATGCATGCATTGATTGCACAAATACATACAGTATGTAGCAAATCAAAATAGTCTCTTCCCACAGCCCCTATGCCTAGAGACCCATCAGTTTGGCCAAAGCAAGACTAAATAAAACGAACGTAAGCCAAAAGGCAGGGAGAAGATAGGCCAACTACTCGGTTCAGTACAATACTCGGTCACTGGTAATTCCATTCAAACTCATGTTCTCTCTCTCTCATCAACTCTTATCACAAGTTAAACAAAGCCAGTCAGTGTTGTCAGCCTTCAGCCTTGACTCAATATGATGTCATACCTGACCGTGACAGACCATGGAGGTTATGTGAATGACATCTTGTAATGATGATAATAAAACTGTGTTCAGATAGGAGATAGTTAGCGCCCTTAACTGTGAGTATGTGCGTGTGTGTTAGGTCTATCTATGCTTCGGGTGAATGGGACTAACTGCTCGTCTCTGCCTGGCTCTTTGCTGTTTTCAATCAGGGGGCTGACCGTAGTGGTAAGAACTCAGCCTGGCGGGTATTTAATTTTTTTACTCAGGATTGTAAGCATATATACAGTCTTGTGCGTCATTTCTTGGAAAGAATGTCTGGGAAAGTTTTTTTTGTTACGTGATTATTCCCCCTCAGGAGACTAAAAAGATTTGGCATGGGTCCTCAGATCCTCAAAAAATTCTACAGCTGCACCATCGAGAGCATCCTGACTGGTTGCATCACCGCCTGGTATGGCAACTGCTTGGCCTCTGACCGCAAGGCACTACAGAGGGTAGTGCGTACGGCCCAGTACATCACTGGGGCAAAGCTCCCTGCCATCCAGGACCTCTATACAGGCGGTGTCAGAGGAAGGCCCTCAAAATTGTCAAAGACTCCAGCCACCCTAGTCATAGACTGTTCTCTCTGCTGCCGCACGGCAAGCGGTACCGGAGTGCCAAGTCTAGGTCCAAAAGACTTCTCAACAGCTTCTACCCCCAAGCCATAAGACTCCTGAACAGCTAATCATGGCTACCCGGACTATTTGCACTGCCCCCCCACCCCATCCTTTTTACGCTGCTGCTACTCTGTTAAGTATTTATGCATAGTCACTTTAACTCTACCCACATGTACATATTACCTCAACTACCTCAACTAGCCGGTGCCCCCGCACATTGACTCTGCAACGGTACCCCCCTGTATATATAGCCTCCCTACTGTCACTTTATTTTACTGTATATATAGCCTCCCTACTGTCACTTTATTTTACTTCTGCTCTTTTTTTCTCAACACTTTTTTTGTTGTTGTTTTATTCTTACTTTTTTTGTTTAAAATAAATGCACTGTTGGTTAAGGGCTGTAAGTAAGCATTTCACTGTAATGTCTGCACCTGTTGTATTCGGCGCATGTGACCAATAAAATGTGATTTGATTTGATTAAGGGAGTCCTAGTCACTTGCATTTTTGGGGTCAGCGAATTATGGCACAGCACAGCAAAAGTAATGCAAGATTCCACTGTATATTCAATGAAAACAATTCACTGAATCATTCCCCATATTCACAATGTATTGGCACGGAGATAAATACCAAATGAGTTTGACCTAAATCCAACATTGTTGCAATAAACCGCGTCCTCCTGATGTGAATTAATGGCAATGGGCCTTTAAAAAGATTTGCCAGTTCTAGCAGGAAGTCTCTACCTCAGTCAACTGGAACAATCAGCTCCCATTAAATCCCAGCTATACTGGAAGACATACTGGGAGCACTAGAGTCAACTGGCTGTTAGTGTTCCACTGCTTCTCTTTCAGCTGTCTCTTCATTCCTCTGATCAGCCAGACAGCAACAACAATAACAAAAGGCAATGCATCAGCACCTCTTCTTCTTTTTTTACAGGATGTCTAGTTAGTCGTTACCCCCTGCATTGTCTCAAAGGCTTCTTTTGTTCTCTGAGTCTTTGTGTTTACTGTACTGTACTTCAAATGGGAAGTCACCGTCTAAGAGCGATGATGAGAAATGATATGTTCTTTAAATTCATTAAAAATATTTGAAGAAAGCAGGGGTTGATTTCCTCTACTGTTAAGGAGTCTTTCTGTTATAAAGGCTGGGGTGTATATATACAAATGGGATGATAAAATAGCTTTCTGTGTCCGTCAGATGATATAGAATAGAATGGATAGAATAGAACATTACGGTGTTTGTTTATCTGTCTGTGTTTGACAGTGTTGTCTTCCACCAGACAGTATAAGGAACATGGGGCTGAGGGGAGAGCAGATCGATTCATCAACATTGCAGCAACACTCCCTCTTGAAGATTGACAGTTCAGTTAGTCCATCACTCCAAATCACATCAATGACATCACATGCACGCACGAACACACAGAATTTCACTCAACCGCACATACTCCTACTCTCCGAAACCTATTCACCCCCCCACACTCCGATTTGCCTCATGGCTTATTTATGGGGTTAATGATGTCTACATAATGACATGTCTACATTGCCTATGCTGCATGATGTAGGATATGCTGAGACCCTTGCTTTGGCAGCATCACACACACACTTGCGGGTTTGTGGGCGCACGCACACAAACACTATAATAATGTCAGATCCTGGAATGTGTGTAAAGCTTTGCTTGGAGAGAGGGAGAGAGAGAGTCACTTTACCCCTACCTACCTACATGTACATATTACCTCAATTACCTCGACTAACCTGTACCCCGCACCTTGACACGGTACCGGTACCCCCTGTATATAGCCTCGTTATTGTTATTTTGTGAAACTTTTTTTTCTTACTTTAGTTTATTAATTCTGCATTGTTGGTTAAGGGCTTGTAAGTAAGCATTTCACGGTAAGGTCTACACCCGTTGTGTTCGGCGCATGTGACAAATACATTTTGATTTGATTTGACAGAGTGCGAGGTGGGGTGGGGGAGAGAGAGAGATCGATCGAGAAATAGAGAGAAAGAAATAGGAGAGAGAAAGAGAACGAAAAATAATGGGAGCATACAGTATGTCTGGCCATGGCTGAGAGCCTTAGTTCTTTCTGACATCATTGTCAGGCCTGTGTCTTAATTATACACTGAAAAAAAATATAAACGCATCCTGTAAAGTGTTGGTCCCATGTTTCATGAGCTGAAATAAAAGACCCCAGAAATGTTCTATATGCACAAAAAGTGTATTTCTCTCAAATTTTGTGCACAAATGTGTTTACATACCTGTTAGCGAGCAATTCTCCTTTGCCAAAATAATCCATCCACCTGGCAGGTGTGGCATATCAAGAAGCTGATTAAACAGCATGATCATTACACAGGTGCACCTTGTGCTGGGGACAATTAAAGGCCACTCAAATGTGCAGTTTTGTCACACAACACAATGCCACAGATGTCTCAAGTTGACGGAGCAAGCAATTGGCATGCTGACTGCAGGAATGTCCACCAGAGCTGTTGCCAGATAATTGAATGTTCATTTCTCTACCATAAGCCGCCTCCAACGTTGTTTTAGAGAATTTGGCAGTACATCCAACCGGCCTCACAACTGCAGACCATGTGTATGGTGACATGTGGGCGAGCGGTTGGCTGATGTCAACGTTATGAACAGAGTGCCACATGTTGGCGGTGGGGTTATGGTACGGGCAGGCATAAGCTACGGACAACGAACACAATTGCATTTTATCAATGGAAATTTGAATGCACAGAGATACCGTGACGAGATCCTGAGGCCCATTGTCGTGCCATTACTGCATGTTTCAGCATGATAATGCACGGCCCCATGTCGCAAGGATCTGTACACAATTCACGGAAGCTGGAAATGTCCCAGTTCTTCAATGGCCTGTGTACTAACAAGACATGTCACCGATTCAGCATGTTTGGGATGCTCTGGATCGAGGTGTACGACAGAGTGTTCCAGTTCCCGCCAATATCCAGCAACTTCACACAGCCATTGAAGAGGAGTGGGACAACATTCCACAGGCCACAACCAACAGCCTCATCAACTCTATGCGAAGGAGATGCGTTTCGCTGCATGAGGCAAATGCTGGTCACACCAGATACTGACTGGTTCTCTGAGCCAGGCCCCTACCTTTTCTTTAAGGTATCTGTGAACAAGAGATGCATATCTGTATTCCCAGTCATCTGAAATCCATAGATTAGGCCTAATTTATTTATTTAAATTTACTGATTTCCTTATATGAACTGTAACTCAGTAAAACGTTGAAATTGTTGCGTTTATATTTTTGTTCAGTATAGATGACCTGGGTGGCACAGTTAGCACCCTCTATAAAGACTGCTCCATTATCTAGCTGCTCCATAAGAGACAGACGGGACTGAGTTGCGTCCTGGGCTGCCTTACAAATGGCACCCTATTCCCTATATAGTGCACTGCTTTTTATCCAGGGCCCATAGGGCTCTGGTCAAAAGTAGTGTACCATGTAGGGAATAGGGTGCCATTTGGGACGCAGCCCTGGACTGGTTTCAGCCCCACTACACAGCCAATCTAGGACAGCCAGCCTGCCTGCAATTCTTTACTGTGCACTTGACTTTCGAAGCACTATTCCCAAACGTGTTTGAAGTAGCCTTAAACAACCCTGGCTTCAAATAGGAAAACCTACTGTATAGGAGGGAGTCTGTGTGAGCGAGTTGCTAATTAGCAACTAGGGTTGTTTTGTGAATTAGCAGGTAATCATTCATTCATTCCATTGGCAGCTTGGATTCCAATATGAAGAATCTCATTCTAGAGTAGAAACCAAACATGGGGGCTTTGAACTGACACCCACCGGTAACATGAACCGACACACTTTTACTACAACTGCGCATATGTAGTGTATGTGTGTGTAAAAACTACAGGTCAAACCATCCTACAGAATAATATTTTAGTTACTGCATCCATCACAGACACAGTAGGACAGAGGCATTCTCTTTAACCAGATAATTCAATAAATGTGATAAATGAGAACACAGGATCATAATTCATGATTAAATCTAATGAAAGTGGAGATGCTTTGGGGTTATTAAGATTCCTCATAAAAACTGACAAACTACAGTGGATTCATCTATGGGTCATTGTGAGGTGTGTGTACTGTGTGCGTGGAAGGGGCGGGGCTACGGGCCGTGGTGGAGGCCTATGATTGGTGGTTGTGAAAGCCTGGTAATACAGATAGCCATAAGCCATATCCTTAGCGGATAACTCAATCAGCTTTAATACACCACCGCCATGGCCACCCTCTATAAATATCACTCCTAAATTACCCCCCTCCGCCATTTTCCCTTCTTCCTAGCTTGCGTCGTTCTTTTACTAAAACTGTACACAGGAGGGGGTGATAGATCCCGCTGTGCTGCTCAGAACCACAATGGAATGAGAGATGGGGGTTGTAGGGAGGGTAAGGGGTGGGTGTGTGAGTGTGCGTGCATACATGCAGGCCCAGTATGTGTGTGTGTCCGCGTTCATGATGTGCGTGCCCGTGTGTCAGGACTTTCATGTGAAGGGGAGCCCAGGGTGAGAGGCTGACAGCCCAGAGGGGGGTTTTCCCTGGCTAAATCCTCCTACTTTCATGTGAGTGGACCGGGGGCAGAACTCAGATTAAACACCATCATCACTACAGACTCTTAGAACAAAAGGAGACAGGGGGCCATCATTAGCATAGAGCACTCACTGTCTCTGAGAGCGGATAGATGGGAAGGAGGGAGGTGAGGGAAGAGCGGGATGGAAGGGTTGGATGGAGGTGAGGGTGGGCATAGGGAGGGGTGTCGGGGGGGGGGGGGGGGGGGGGTTGCATCCTGTGTCTGTTCACAACCCTGACTGATCAACACCCTGGGGGGGAGCTCACCTTCAACCACGCCGTTGCCGTGGAGACGATATTTGCACTACTGCCCGTACGGGGCTCTCTTAGATCAATGTGGTGCTGCTGCAGCAAAACGCCACATGGACCAGTGGTGGAGTGACGGAATCGCAGTGTTGCAAGACCCGAGCTTGAGGCGGTAATGAGGAGTGGTAGCTAATGATCTCTGTGTCTGTCTGGCTGACAAACCTCCTACTGCATATACAGAATGAATGTAGCATAGCTAGTTCTCCCTTACCCTGGAGAGATGGCTGAACAGCATAATGAACATGGAAGATCATCTTTAAATCATTTTTTTTTTTAAACCTTTATTTAACTAGGCAAGACAGTTAAGAACAAATTATTATTTTTACTTCATAGGATGTGCCGATGATAGTTATGGTGCCAGGCTGTTCACTATGATCTATGGTTATGATCTATGGTTATGATCCTGGTTGTTCTCTAGTTTAAGAGATCTCCAGGAAAGGCAGTGTTGCTGGGGGATGCTGTGAACTCGGTGTGCTGGCTACTGAGGGGGAGAGTTCAGTCACGCTCAGTTAAAGTGGAGCAGGTAGCCTAGCCATTTTGGGGGGTGTATTGGAAGTAGTCAGGCGGCAGGTAGCCTAGCGGTTAAGAGCATTGGGCCAGTAACCGAAAGGTCGCTGGTTTGAATCCCAGAGCCGAACAGGTGAAAAATCTGTCAATGTGCCCTTGAGCAAGGCACTTAACCCTAATTGCTCCTGTAAGTCGCTATGGATAAGAGCGTCTGCTAACTGACTAAAATGTAAAAGAAAGAATGTGTAGCACTACATAATGTATACATACGGTATTATACAAACGTATCCCCCCGGATCTCAGTGGTTTGTTACTCACAGACCAGGCAGGGGACATGGAAGGGAACAACTCACTGATGTGGAAGGAAGGAAACCTGAGAGAAGCTATTCTAGATTTGTGATCTAGATTTAATGTGTGGTCGTCATGGGTTTAGTCATAAGGTCACCAGGTAAAACTCAGACTAATGGCCAAAACGATATGATAATTTCATTATCTCCAACTAAAATGTAAATAACAAGAAAATAAATCAACCCAGGTGAATTATGTCAAGCTTTTAAAAAGATACCGACAGCCAGACACACCATGTCTTTACGGTGAATACATTCCTGCTGCTGTCCCTTGTGTTTGAAACATTGAGTCTGTGGTAGTAAAAAAGATATGAAGCAGTCAGGACCTGTGCCCTTTGAACTACTTCTGAAATGAGATGGAGATCTGAGTGGAGTTCCACTTGTTTAAATAATTGTTTATGTAATAGTCAGCCAGTCAGTCAGCCAGTCAGTCAGCCAGCCAGTCAGTCAGTCAGCCAGTCAGTCAGTCAGCCAAGTCAGTCAGTCGGCCAGTCAGCCAGTCAGTCAGTCAGTCGGCCAGTCAGTCGGCCAGTCAGTCAGTCAGTCGGCCAGTCAGTCAGAGCTGGAGAGGTGATGGTGTGAGAAATAAGGAGGGAGGGAAGGAATGTCTCAATGGAAGAATGAGATTCTGCTAAACCTCTAAGAGAGGAGAACAAGGTCACAAATAGTTATCTATATAACTCTGGTTCAAAGGTCAAAGAGAAGCTAAAAATCTCATCATCATCAGCAATGTCCACCATTAAACAATCATGAAAAGGTCAGTCCCCCTTTACAAGGTGTAAAAGCCATCAGTTCCAGGCTGTGTGAAACAAACATCTATTACCAGATGAGACTAACAGAGGAAAATCAATAGACACTCCTAAAACAGCTCTCCTTATGTAGCCATACATCCAGCCAAACTCTACTTTAACAACATTCGACGAACACAGGAGGAAAAAACAATCCTCCTTAGGCAGATTTATAGCTCCACACGGAGCGTGCCACTATAACCCAGCCTGAACCATAATGGATTCCATCTGATGCTGAGTAGCAGAGCAGCAGTCCTGGTGCCCTTGGTCCTGTGGTACTGTCTATCTTGGCCTGGCCTCTCTGAGCTGTTCTTCCAGTATAAACACAGATCAGGTTACTAGTGTTGGGAGAGGGCAGATATTGGCAGCAGGCTGTATGATAATCATGTTGCTGAAACAGCATGTTGTTCACTTCATGAAGACATTTGAATACTGCAGAGGAACTGCAGAGAACGTAGGAACAAATTATTCAGAATAGTCATTCAAGACTACATTAAATCTTCTCCTGTCAACAAACCACATTCAAGTCCATTAATAAGCTAAAATCCCACTTGTGAGTATCAAAATGGGATGTCTTCTCCATTCCCTCTCCTTCCTCCTATTCACAGTGAGGAGTGTGGTCAGTGAGCCCTGGCCTTTCTCCAGCCCCACCATCATCTCTCCTTCCTCCTATTCACAGTGAGGAGTGTGGTCAGTGAGCCCTGGCCTTTCTCCAGCCCCACCATCATCTCTCCTTCCAGTCTCATGGTCAGAGGCCTGCTGCAGTTCTATCTACTCTACATCTATACTCTATTCAAGGATGCCCTCTCTCTCCGCTCTGTAGGGCATTCTCTCTCTCTCGCCACAGTCCTCAAAAACTCCATCTATTACACAACACATTACATAATGAAACGTTCTCTGTGTCTCTGAAATAGACATTAGTACTGTGAAAGCGCCCCCACACCCACTCAGCTCTTTGAAAGTAGCAAATACCTACTCTAGCCATGTGAACTGGATAACCTTGTTCCTGACGGGTGCATAGTTTAAGAGTATATTCAGATGAATTCAGCACGACAAGTTTGTTACGCAAGAGAGAGGGTGCTTCAAGCAGGGAGATGTAGCGCATAGTGAGTGTCTGAAAGATGCATTAGAAAGGGAGAGAAATGTTTCCAATGCTTTTTGGATAATGCAAAAAATAAATATATATATATATATATCAAATGTTATTGGTCACATGCGCCGAATACAACAGGTGTAGACTTTACAGTAAAATGCTTACTTACGAGCCTGTTCCCAACAACGCAGAGTTAAAAAGACAAATATTTGCAAAATAGAAAAGGAAATAGTAACACAATAAAAACAATAACGAGGCTGTATACAAGGAGTACCAGTACCGAGTCAACGTGCAGGGGTACGAGGTAGTTGAGGTAATGTATGTACATGTGGGTAGAATTAAAATAAGAAAAAAATAAGAAAAAAATAAGGTACTTTTTACAGTTTAAACCTGTAGTGCAGTTGTACATTGCATAACTGTTTGTCAGTGTGTGGGGCAGCCATGCTCATCATAGAGACCAGTCAAGTGTTTCTCCACTACAGCCTTGGTCGTACCCATTCAGTTCATACCCAGTGCCATAGAGACCTGGAAACATGCTGGTTAAGACACCCAGTACCCTTTGACTTCCATGTCAGGAAAGAGGTGGTGCAAGAATGTCAGTTACAGTAGTAACCTCACCATACCTCATCTCTCAGAGGGCTGACAGGTGAAACACAGGGGGTCCTGGAGGGGTTTTAGGAATATTTCACCCCAAGATGAAAACAATTACATCAGGCAGTCAGGTTAATGGCTGGCGGCAGAGGGGCCCAATTGGGAGGCCCCTCTCAGGAATCCAAGGAGTCAAGAGTTATTGCTTCCCATTATTCCCAGCAGTGCGGTTGTGAAAGGGGCCAAACAATACGATTTAGCCCTCATTACCCATCATGGTGTTTATAACATCTCAATCTGTTACAGCAACACATTTCTCATAGGAAAGGAATGCTTGGCTTTATTACTGTAGATAAATGATCAGACTGGGGTATTGGCCAAGTAAATGGCTGTGTGGTTACTGGAAATAGGAATATCAGTTATCAAGTTTATAAACAGAGGGGTGGTGTTGAAGTGTGCACAATACAATGCTGAAGTCATTGTGAACTCTGACTTGCGAGATTAACAATCCAATTTTGAAATATTCAAAAACAAGGGAGAGGTTCCCTGCATTCATTGAAAACAAGCTAAAGAAAATAAGAAAACAGCAGCATAGCAAAGCTGAGACAGCTGGCAGTGACGATTTCATTGCTCAGGAGGTTTCCTCCGAAGGTATGAGCGAGCGGTCATTATCTTGAGTGAGTGAGAGCTCAAAAACAAACTTTGTCTCGTTCTACAAGACCAGAGAGAACGGCTACGGAGAAGTCGCAGTCAGATGGCAGCGGTGGCGAGGCGCCGGTGAGACACCTTCAATGGAGAGTGAACTGTGCTGCCTGCCTGCCTCCGGAGGACCTGCTCATCTCCCCCCGTTGACCTCCTCCCTCTGCTCAAGCCATGTGGTTCCCTCTTGACTGTCACTTCATCTGTTGGAGGCTTGAAACACTCAAAACGTTCAACTCTGGCTGAAAATCAGTCCATACCTACTCTATCATATAGATGTATTACTTGATTCTTGTTTGTTTTGCTTATTCATTTTTGTAATGAAAAGCACTATTGAAGTTGAATAAATAATACAAATTATTATTATTAATATAGCTGGCTGACCACGGCCACACATAAGGGCTTCAGTGATTAGTGTGTTAAGACCCTCACATGTGTAGTCTGGACAGGAAACGGACAATCTGCCCCCTGATCCCGTGGAGGGGAAAGCATCAAGTTGGATCAAAAGACTGGGAGTAACCATTGTCCTGCTGTATGAACACAACAGTCAAACATAACTGGGCTGTGTGTACTGTATATGTGTATGTGCACTGTGTACTCATGTTATTGAATGTGTGTGTGAGTTTGCAAGAACATACTATTCAAAAGTTTATATTTTGGAGAAATGAATAAGCTTGCACTAGGCTGGTGGAGGCCAGTCATTTGCTTGGCTGATATCCATTAACTGAAACATTTCTCTCATTACACCAGGCATATACTATATAGTTAACCCTGGTTAACATAAGCAAGGAAGCTGAGAGTTTACACAGCCCAGATAGGTTTTAAGGGTAGACCAGCTCGTAATGCAGACCATAGTGCTAACAAAGTCCTAACAAACGGCATCACTGTACACAGCACCTGGATGTATTTTCACAGGCATCAGCAACAGTGCACACCCCCCTCCTCCAAGCCTGCGGAGCAGAGCAGGAACTAACTAACTTCTCCATGTATTATGTATAGAGAGGCCCATCACGTTGTCAGCTCTCTGCCTGCCCAGCCAGTGCTATGCTCTGCCTCTCTGCCCTTTACCTCATCAGACCA